AGCAAGGACCCCTTTTCATGGCCCTGCAAAAGGAGTCAGTGGATCGGAAAGGACACCTGATTTGAAGTTCTCCACTGGGGCGCCCCTGGTGGCTCAGATGGTAAGGAATCTGCCTGCAGTGCGGGAGACTCGGGTTCAATCCCTGGGTCAGAAAGATTCCCTGGAGAAGGGAATGGCAGCCCACTCCAGTATTCTTGCCTGGAGAATCCCATGGGCAGAGGAGCCTGACACTGGGCTGCAGTCCATGGGGTCTCAAAAGAGTCGGACACGACTGATGGATGAACACTTTCACTTTCATGAGTTTGGCTCTGCAGTTGAGTTGGTAGAACACAGAGATGCAGTGTTCGCTGGGATGAGAACTGGTGGAGCAAAGCCAGGCTCTTGGAGCAGGATGGTTTGGAGCCCTGCACTGGGCTCAGGAAGAGATAACTTGTGAGAAGAGCCCGATGAAGTCCTGGGGGTGTTTCAGTGAGTCTGTGGCTCCCACCCGAGGCATCAGGAGAGCCCAGTCACCTCCCTGACTCTTGACTCTTGGCTCAGACAGGAGCAGAAGGAGGCCTTTCTCTTCTCCGTGCCTGGGGGGCAGGGGGTGGTGCAGGGGGCCGCTGCTGAGTGCCCCCCAGAACCAGAGGAGAGAACTGAGTCCTCTGTGGCGCCAGCCCTGGGGTCGCCAGCCTGCTGTTCCTTAGCTTTGTGATGCCCTCCGTGTTCCCCAGGGTAGGGGCCCTCCATGCTGTTTCCAAGGTGAAACGCGGATGCTGATAAAGAAGACGGTGCCTGGAGCCTGATACACCCCAAGACAACTGTCCTGATGCTCCTGGGACCAATGAAGACCCAGGAGGTCCAGCCTGTGCCTGTGGCGAATGACTTGTCTCTCAAGTCCTTTGATGTAGCCTTGTGAATCAGGATGAGCGCCTTGACAGCAAGCAAACACACTGATTCAGGGGATGGTGATGATGAGACGCCCTCATACAGCTTTTGGAGACTGTGCTCATGAGAGATGAATGACAATTCTTCCTGGTATTTCTGGCAGCTATTTTACCAAACTGTGTCCCAAGAATTCTGTGGAATATACTTTGCTTCCTGTGCGGATAACCAAAAAAATCATTAAAAAAAATCATTTCCACCTAATTAGTGGGAACTTCATTTTATTGGCCAAGTTTTTCAGAAAGCCTTTAAAATGTGTTTAAATCATCTAACTCTGTCAGTCTAGTCCTGAATCTGTCATTCTCTAATGACATCTCCAATTGAGTTATTTTGATAGTTATATATGGTATTGTCTACACAGTTAATAGCCACATGTAAAGCCATAACACAAATAAATAATCAATGCTTTTTTTTTTTTAAACCCTCTAACGTTCAAATGGGACTTGAATATTTACTCAGCATAGTACAGGAAGATTTTAAATTTTGAATGAGTGATACACCGTACTGGGGAAAAGAAGAGACTATTCAATTTAAACCAGATATACTGGTCAAATACAGAAAGCAAGCAGAAATTGGAAGCATAATTTAAGTGTGGCTTTGGAACTGTTTCGCTATTTCAGTTTAGCTCCTAGGTGTAGGGTATATTAAAAATGAGAAAAATGTTTCATTTTGAGAAAATGCATATAACAAAATTTACCATTTTAATCATTTCAGGTGTGCAATTCAGTAGTGTCACGTACATTCACACTGTTGTGCAACCAATCTCACATTATTATGCAAAACTGAAACTCTATCCATTGAAAGGCAAGTCCCCTTTCCCCCAGCCCCTGGCAACCACCATTCTACTGTTTCTATGAATTTTACTACTCTTGGTACCTCAGATAAATGGAATCATACAGTATTTGTCTTTATGTGGCAGGCTTATTTCACTTAGTATAATGTCCTCAAGGTTCATCCATGTATCAGAATTTCCTTACTTTTTAAGTAAGCTCTCTCTTGTCTTCTTAGAAGGTCACCAGTCATATTGCATTTAGGGCCCACCCTGCTCTGGAGTGACCTCACTATAACTTAACTCTATGAATCTGTAAAGACCCTGTTCCCAAACGATCGCATCTGTAGGGACCAGGAGCTAGAATTCCAACACATTCTTTTTTTTGGGGGGGTGGGTGGGTGGAGGGGTGACTCAATTCAGTCCATAACAAGGGAGAGACGGGGCCACGTGAGTGGGGTTCTCATCTTCACCGAGGGCTTTCACCTAGGAATTTTAACTAGGGCTGCCTTGCTTTGCCAGCTTAATACTTGGGGATCCCTTGAAGGACTTTGACGAAGAGCGCCATTGGTGGCAGCATACTGAAAACCGCCTGAGTGTGGTACATGCCACTTCCTACAAAGAGACAAACGTGTCATTCAATTGGCCTAGAAACTGCATTTTCTTGAGGCTTTAGAGTCCAGTTTCTCTTCTGCATGCCCGATTCTATTTGGCATGAGCTGGGCACAGACGGCCAGTCCCCGCTGATGGCTGTTGTGATTGACCCACCACTGAGACTCGAGTGAATAGCCTCAGTCTGGCCATTCTCCCCATCCTCATTCCCTCTGAGTCCCCTGAATCACCATATGTGCGATGCATGGGTGGTCTGGTCCCCTGGGGGGCCCTGCAACAAGCATTCTATCCCTGACGCTTTCTGATGCCCCCGGAACCCACAGTGTCCCTTAATTAGAGGCAGTGGGTGGCATGATGGCAGGATTAGTGTCCGTGCCTGGCCTCCCTCAGGACCAGGGGACGCTGTGGTCCAGGTTTTCCTACCTGCATAACCAGCCTGTTTATAAGTTGATGAAAAATTTCAAAGCAGGGTGGGGCATGTTATCTCCTGGGCTTACGGTCCACTCTGCTGGCTTCAGGAAGAGGCTGGCCCTGAGTCCCATGGGGGGCGTGTAACTGTTTCCCTTCACTGCAAATGGAGGGTGCTATAGCTTTAAGTGCATTGCTATTTTGCCATCGCTGCAGAATGAACAACAATGATGTTCTGCTGAGCATCAGTTACAAGCATTTTAGGAAAGGCTCAGCCGTTTTGGACGATGAGGCTGTATCACTCAAGCGTAATGAGCCAAGAGGAGAAACACGTTGTGTGCATGCAGCGCAGTACAGACCTGTGCCCTGGCCGTCAGGGTTCCTTTCCTGCTCTGTTGTGAACTTGGAAGATACGGGGTGTTCGTTCAGCCTTACAAGCACTAACGTGAAAGGAACATTCTGGCTTAGGGACTGAGCTGAAATGAATACCAGGGACAGTGCTTCTGCCAGCTAATTATCGACAGAATATTCAGAGTTTGCAAAATGCCAGATCCTTGGCGGCCCCACCTCCAAGTCCCCCTTCTATCCTCCCCCCAAGTCCACACATAAGAAAAGGGTTTAGAGCTGATCATCAGCTTGGAGTAAATTCTTTTACAAATCCAGTATTTATTTTCTTATGTACAAAAAGGAAACTCCATATGAACATAAAAATGACATAAAATCCTTTTGGCTGCACTGACTTTAATTGTCTATTATCTTGTCACAATTAATCATATAAACGCTGTATGGACTGTCACCACCATGTCACATTTGTTATACAGAGGGAATGTGATATTTGGCTAGTTTAAGAATGTTAAATAGAAACAGAAAGAGGTCACACAGAACCTGGGGACTGGGGTGGTGGTCAAAGGATTCTGAGATCATCAATCTATTGAAGTCATCTGAACAGCAAGTCTCCAATTACAAATAGTGTAGTCAAAGCCCCAACGCACCTCTGCTTGGTTGACACAACGTAAGAGAACCAAGGTTCCATCCAGAGGACATGGACCACTGATGTGTGAAACAAATACAGCTGAGTTGTCAGATACCTAAACTGTGAGCTGAGAGCGAGATTTTGGAGAGTATCATTATTTCTACAGGAGAATCTGGTAGCAAGGGCATCATTAAAAAAACAAAAAAACATTCACTTTGCTGCATCGGGTCTTGGTAGCAGTGCACAAGCATGTGGGATCTTAGATTCCCAGGGATCAAACCCACGTCCCCTGCATTGTAAGGCAGAGTCTTAACCAGCGGACCACCAAGGAAGTTTCAGCAAGGCCATCATTTTGAAATGAACATGGCAATGGTGTGTTGCGGCCAACTTATAATGTCTTTGCTAATTTATGGCCAAAGGGACCAACCTTGGGTAAGAGATGAAGCCAATGATAACATCACACATGTGAAGATTTTTAAATTAAGCGGAATCATGTAGTTTTACTTTTTTTTTTTGCTAAACTGTGATTAAAGGGCTTTTAAAGAAATTCAACATCTTCGTGTAACCATGCTCCCCCTGAGGGATCTATGTACAGCTTTGTTTTAAACCAGTCAGCTCCTCAAGCCAATTCTTTGCTTGCTACCTACACACGGAGTTCTCCTGGGAGCAGGCCACAGTTCCACTGAGTGACCGGGAACAGACACTGACTTCTTCTGATCTCTAAATAGCTTGTGCAGATTTTAAATAATAATGTAAGAAAAAGAACAGACTTTTTAAAATTCAGAATCTGTAGTTTGTAAAACTACTATCATTTTAGCATGAGCTCGGTGCTGACCTTTGCAGATCAATCATAAATAATAAATTCTCCCAAGAAAAGTATTTCTTGAAGAAGTGGGAAAAACACAAACTAAAATTATACCTCCCGCACCATAAATATCAGCTACTTTGGGCTAAGCACTCTTTCAGGGGGTGGTAATAATGCATAAGAGTATACACAAATATATACCTTAGTTTACATAGACAATGTGAAATTTTGAATGATCTACATCTGGCATTAGTATAGTGTCTAATATTATGGATACTGCCACCATGCTGATTCTCTTGAATTTGTGGCAATAACTCATCACAAATATAGCTTTGATGGACCTAGTTTTATGCCTTCCCATGGCAGGATCCAGAAATTAGTTCTAAAAAATTTTGTTACAAGTTGGACTTAAATTATACATCAAGTATGGATTGCTCACTGGACAATGAAAGCATACATCAGAAGTCAGTTTTCGCCAGTGGACTTTCATCTGCATCGGTTTCCACCTAAATGTCCAGAAGGTCATCTCCGCTTTCATCACTCTCCACGGTCAGCTGCCGGGTCCACCACTTCTTAACCTCGGAACCACAGGAAGCGGTGTCTGTCATGGGGTTCATTTTGCACACGACAGATTTCATTGTGGTCCGCCCTCCAAACCGTAAGTTGACTGAAGACACGGAGTGGCTTATTGGTTTTGGTGCTGTCAAATCAATAAAAGCCCTGTGAGCAACATGGTGTGGTTCCCCAACCCCAGCCCCCAACCCCGGCCCCATCGCAAGCTATTCCTGAAACACCCTGATGGTCCCAGCAGTCATGCTTTCCACAAGCAGGTCCTATCCATAGATGTCACGTATGAAACCTTTCCAAGCACTGGATTCTGCATATTCATAACGGAGGCTTCCCAGGTGGCGCTAGTGGTAAAGAACCCGTCTGCCAATGCAGGAGACATAAGAGATGCAGGTTCAATCCCTGGGTGGGGAAGATCTCCTGGAGGAGGGCCTGCCAACCCACTCCAGGATTCTTGCCTGGAGAATCCCAAGGACAGAGGAGCCTGGAGGGCTACAGTCCATGGGGTAGCCATGGACTGGACGTGATTTAACAACTAAACAACAACTGGAAGAAAGACTTCCCTCTCTGCTATTAAGAGGCATTGGACAAATGTAAGAAGCCCCCACTTCCCTGTGGGCTGTTATCCACAGAGACAGCACTGAACCAGGAAGATCACTGCTCTCCCTCTCACTCTGCATGCCCTGAATGGGATTATCCTGGTTTTCCATGCTGCTCTAGAAGAAAACTCTCACTGAGTCAGTAAAATGTGGAAAATAATAGGGTTGTGAGGATAGTGACTGGCGTACAGTAAGTGCTGAAACATATTACACTTCACTGAATAGGTTTTGTTGCTGCTTCTTTGAGAACCCTATGTCATTTTCTGAGTTATGTGTACCCACCCACGCCCTCTTAGAGTAAACACAGGTTGCCTAAATTAGGGAATGCCTGGAATGTGCACTAGAAGCCTGTGGCGGTAATCTCTCGATCTTTCTATGTTGTGGGTATAATATCTTTGCTAAAAGGGGCTGCTGAGACTTTCTTGGTGGTCCAGTGGTTAAGAATCTGCCTTCCAATGCAGGAGATGAAGGTTCGATCCCTGACCTGGGAAATAAGATCCCACAGGCCACGGGACAACTAAGCCCATGTGCCACAACTAGAGAAGTTTATGCACTGCAAGGAAGACCCACCTCAGCCTAATAAATAAATAAATAAAACTATTAAAAAAATAGGAGCTGCCTTCTCTATTGGCGGAAAACAAGGGCTAACATTGTTCTACTTAGAGAAGCCATTTTGAGGAAAATGTTTCTGATGAGGGAAGTACATTTTTCATCATTTCACTGTCTACATATAGCTTTTTTGTTTTTGGCCACACTGCATGACTTTCTGGGATCTTACTTCCAGACTAGGGATTGAACCCAGGCCCCCTACAATGAAACTTGATATCTGAGCCACTGGACCACCAGGAATGTCGCTATAAATAACTTTAGATGCAGACCTGAATTCTGAAATTCAAGACCCCAAACACACAAAGAGGACTGATACCCTTCAGACCCTGATGCTGGGAAAGACTGAGGGCAGGAGGAGAAGAGGACAACAGAGGATGAGATGGTTGGATGGCATAATTGACTTGATGGACATGAGTTTGAGCAAACTCCAGGAGATGGTGAAGGACAGGGAAGCCTGGCGTGCTGTAGTCCATGGGGTTGCAAAGAGTTGGAAATGACTCAGTGACTGAACCACAAACTTTCAGATGAGCCAATCGCTGGAGAAAGGACTTGCTGTACATACCGGAGGGCAGGCGCCACTGCCCGAACTTCCGCTGGGGCTTCCCGGCCTCGGCCGCGTCCTGGCGACCCCCTCCCCGGTCCGAGAGGGTGGGGCTCAGGAGTTGCTGCTGGCTGCTCGACTGTAGGGATGGGGGTGGGGGGAGAGTCAGGCGGTTATCCCTCACCACAAGCTCTCCTCCACCCTCCTCTGTGTGCTGGCCTGGCCCCTCATTTCAGTTTAAGAAAGGAAGAAAGCCCCACCGGAAAGCCAAGTGGGGAAAACCGTATGGACCCATCGTATCCACCAGGGGGACTGGAAGAGTGAACATGGGCAAAAGAGTCAAGGAAAATTTGACAAAGTCACCACTGCACATGGTGAGGATGAAAAGCCTGACTTTCCAGGTGGCCCCTTTTCTTGGGCGTCCCTCCTGGATACCTCCATTCCACAGCTTCAAGCCCCCTACTCCTGGGGGCACCACCATGCACCAGGACAGCAGGGAAGGGCTTCTAGGAAGAAGTGGGGGTAGCAGGGATGACCTGCTTTGGGGGCAGCACATGCTTGCCAACCTGGGGGTCAGCGCCTAGAGCTTCCAGATGAATCCTCAGCAGATGAAACTCTGGGATGAGCCCCAGAGGAGAACGAGACATCGATCAACTAAGACTGAGGTCAAGGAGAAATGCTCGGATTTCCTCCATGCATCTCACCCAGTCTCTGTCTTACCAGCATCTTCTCCTTCCCTGTCGGCACTGTGATCCTCACCTCTCTTCGAGTTTTTTAACCCCAAACCAGAATGCTCAGCCAGCATCACCTCCCTGCTTCGCCAGCCCCACAGGTGACTACTGCTGGCCCCCCTCAGGGCAGACAGGTGGCAGGGCCATTGTAGATGCCCCACGTTGTCCCCCGTGTTGACTGTGGCAGGGCCACTGTAGATGCCCCATGTTGTCCCCCATGTTGACCGTCCTGGCCCAAGTCTCAGTGGCCCACGACTCCTACTAGCTGGGGGTGGGGGAGAGCCAATGACATGTGAATCCACAATCCACCCAAAACAGGGCTGTGGCGCAAGAGGCCCCTTGGAAGGTCCTGCTCAGCCACGGAGCCCCAGGCGTCAGTGTCTGTCGCTGGCTCTGACTGTGTCACTACACATCAGGATGCTGGACCAGCTCCACCTGATTCACACTGAAAGCCTCACAAGGCCTGGGCCTCCTGCCAGCTGCTTCTCACCCACACGCTCTCCAGGAGGCTGGTGACGCTGAGCTGTTTTATGGACGTGCAGATGGAGGCTGGAAATGAAGCTAGGCTGAGCCCCAGTACACAGAAGGTCCTTATGCTAAGCCTCCCCGATTTCCATATGCTCTTCTGATGCCCAACAAAAGGAGGACTAATTCTCGATGAGCCTGTTTAAGGAGGCTGAAGGCCAACTGCAAACCTTTTGCTCACTTGACTGCAAGTTTCTAGGACTTGGTGAGGAAGAGAAAATATTGAGGGCAGAACTTCAGGCAAACCGTATTCTCCTAAGTCACGGGCTATGGCTGGACTCAAACCCTTACAGATGTGATATTAACTCTTTAGACAAATATCAACAGGATTATTAAGTTTAGAGCATTCCTTTTTTTTTTTTTCTGTATCCATATAAATCAGAATCTTTTGAAATATGTTCCACAAATTCAGGGATGACAAGGACACAAACATAAACTGGATCAATATGTTGCAGTCATTTTTTCTTTTTAAATCAACTTAACTGCCTATTAGAAGTAGCATCACTTGTGTGAAATGTCTATGTGAATGGCACCAGCTCCTGTTCTGTGAACATTCATGGGTGACAGACGCCCCCTGCCCATACCTCGGGTTGCACGCTGTTGTCCTGACTATTGGTCTTCAGGTCCTCACTGGGCTGCGTGGTCTCGATGCTGGGCGGGTTGAGGATCCGCTTCAACTCCTGCTGTTGGCTCTGCTTCAGGCTGATGATGATGCTGCAGGACTGCTGCTGTTTCTATGGAGACAGGAACCTTCTTTCAGGAACAGGAAAGTCAGCCCAACATCCCCTACCCCCATCATTCAAATCTTCCTCTCTTCTCCTCTCTCCAAAGGACCTGCCTGCCGGGTGACCGCTTGAAAGAAAAATAGAAAGAAAGAAAGAAGGAAAGAAAGAAAGCAAGAAAGGGAAGTCACTTAGTCGTGTCCGACTCTTCGCGACCCCATGGGCTGTAGCCCACCAGGCTCCTCCGCATGTGGAATTTTCCAGGCAAGAGTACTGGAGTGGGTTGCCATATCCTTCTCCAGGGGATCTTCCCGACCCAGGGATTGAACCTGGGTCTCCCGCATTGCAGGCAGACGCTTTACCATCTGAGCCGCCAGGGAAGCCTGGTGACCACTTAAAGCTTCCAAATGAGGGTTTTTCCCTGGTGGGTGTCAGACAGCTTTAGAGGAGGGCTTGGAGTGTTCATCTGCATAACAATCCTAACGTTCACTGATACTACCATGTAAGTTTCATTTTGAACAGAATTGTTTTTCCTTCTTTTTAAACAATTTTTAATTGAAATATAGTCAATTTATAATGTCATCTAAGTTTCAGGTGTACAGCCCAGCCATATCGCTGGTGGCTCAGATGGTAAAGAATCTGCCTGCAATGCAGGAGAGGTGGGTTTGATTCCTGGGTCAGGAAGATCCCCTAGAGGAGAAAACGGCAACCCACTCCAATATTCTTGCCTGGGAAATCCCATGGGCAGAGGAGTCTGGTGGGCTACAGTCCAAGGGGTCATAAAGAGTCAGATATGACTGAGCAACTAATACCATTTTATATATATATAATGGAGAAGGACATGACAACCCACTCCAGTATTCTTGCCTGGGAAATCCCAAGGACAGAGGAACCTGGCAAGCTACAGTCCATGGGGTCACAAAGAATTGGACACAACTGAAGTGACTTAGCATGTAGCAGCATACTCACACACACACATTCTTTTTCAGGTATTTTCTCCTTATAGGTTATTTCACAATATTGAATACAGTTCCCTATATTATACGGTGTGACAGGATTTTTAGGTCATTAACATGAGTTTCTATTTTCTTCCCCTTCTTTTCTTATTCTATGCTCACTAAGCCAATGTAGCTCGCTCCTTTCCTCTGAGTTCTAAGAAGCAGGACACCTGGGTGGTTGAGAGAAACCCTTGCTTTGTTCTAGGCTTGGCTCTGGTCGCAGTGGGCCAACCTGTCCTGGCACACACTGAGGCTAGGACGTTCTGGGAGAGAGTCAGCAATGCCCGTGCCCTGCCAGGGCCTGTGGGGGGCAGACGTGACCCCTGACCTAGCAGGGCTGACGGGGCGGGGGGTGGGGAACACTGAGCGAACTCAGAAGTTGCAGGGAGGCGGGGGGTATCTGTCACAGCTGCCTTGCTATACAAGGCTGGACTGGCCCTTTTCTCTGGGGACCCTTTCTCCTCCAATAGGTATGCTTTGCAGTTGATGTTCTTAGAAACAAGATAAAAAATTTGTTCTATATAAACGTTTACTGGTTCATTTGATTTCCCCACCCCCCCAACCCGTGTGTGAAAGTGAAAGTGAAGTCGCTCCGCCATGTCTGACTCTTTGCAACCCCACGGACTGTAGCCTGCCAGGCTCCTCCATCCATGGGATTTTCCAGGCAAGAATACTGGAGTGGGTTGCCATTTCCAAGTATAGGTCAAAAGCATTCATAAAAGTCATGACCAAATAGAAAAGCTGACTGCAAACACAGTCAACACAGTATACATTCATTGATTTATGAATTAGAGAATCTTAAAGCTTATAGTTCAGGAAGCAGATTATAACTTTTGGGGAGAGGTGGTCTTTAACTAAAGATCAAACAACACTGTCAACAATACATTGGGCATTTTAGGGGCAATTTAAAAGTAGCTTTGTCAATTCAATTGCCATTCAAACACGTAGAGATTGTTGGCATTGTGAACACCTGCCTTTCGTAAAAGGCGATCGTAAATATTTTAATATCCATAAGTTGCTTTTTATGGTTAGAACTGGACATGGAACAACAGACTGTTTCCAAATGGGAAAAGGAGTATGTCAAGGTTATATATTGTCACCCTGCTTGTTTAACTTATATGCGGAGTACATCATGAGAAATGCTGGGCTGGAAGAAGCCCAAGCTGAAATCAAGATTGCTGGGAATAATATCAATAACCTCAGATAAGCAGATAACACCACCCTTATGGCAGAAAGTGAAGAGGAACTAAAAAGCCTCTTGATGAAAGTGAAAGAGGAGAGTGAAAAAGTTGGCTTAAAGCTCAACATTCAGAAAACTAAGATCATGGCATCTCATCCCATCACTTCATGGAAAATAGATGGGGAAACAGTGGAAACAGTGTCAGACTTTATTTTTTGGGGCTCCAAAATCACTGCAGATGGTGATTGCAGCCATGAAATTAAAAGACGCTTACTCCTTGGAAGGAAAGTTATGACCAGCCTAGATAGCATATTAAAAAGCAGAAACATTACTTTGCCAACAAACGTCCGTCTAGTCAAGGCTATGGTTTTTCCAGTGGTCGTGTATGGATTTGAGAGTTGGACTGTGAAGAAAACTGAGCGCCGAAGAATTGATGCTTTTGAACTGTGGTATTGGAGAAGACTCTTGAGAGTCCCTTGGACTGCAAGGAGATCCAAGCAGTCCATCCTAAAGGAGATCAGTCCTGGGTGTTCACTGGAAGGACTGATGCTGAAGCTGAAACTCCAATACTTTGGCCACCTCATGCGAAGAGTTGACTCATTAGAAAAGACCCTGATGCTGGGAGGGATTGTGGGCAGGAGGAGAAGGGGACGACAGAAGATGAGATGGCTGGATGGCATCACTGACTCAATGGACATGAGTTTGAATAAACTCCAGGAGTTTGTGATGGACAGGGAGGCCTGGCGTGCTGCGATTCATGGGGTCGCAAAGAGTCAGACACGACTGAGCGACTGAACTGAACTGAAACTGCTTTTTAAACATTCATACTGTGTTATAAAGAAGTGATTCAATGGAAACTTGTTACAGACTCTGCTCAAGAGAGTACAGCTGACTCTGGGCCATAATTAGGGTTTGAATCACTGTGAATGGATTGAGTGACATTGTTGAAGGTCCATAAGGTGATCACAGAAGGATCTAATCCAGGTACTGTGGGAGCCCTTTCCTTTGAACCCTCTTCCTCCCTTCTCCCCTCCTCCCGCCTCCTGCCCTCCCTCTCCCCCTCCTCTTTCCAAAGCTTTTTCCTTTGGATCCTCTCCCTCCTCCCCTCCCCCCTCCTCCCTTTCTTCCTCCTCCTCCCCCAATCCCTCCTCCTCCTCTCCTCTCCTCCCCTCCCCTCTCCTCCCCTCCCCCCTCCCTCCTCTTCCCCTCCCCCCTCCTCTTTCCAAAGCTCTTTCCTTCGGATTCTCCCCCTCCTCCCCTCCCCCCTCTGCCCCTCCCCCACCTCCCCTCCCCCCTCCTCCCCTTTCTCCTCCTCCCTCTCCCCCAACCCCTCCTTTCCTCCATGCCCCCTCCTCTCCTCCTTTCTCCTCCTCTTCCTCTCCCCACCCCGCCTCCTCCTCTGAGAGGAGGAAGGGAAGGCCCGCGGGTCTGGCGCACTCACGGCTCGGATGCGCTTCAGGCACTTCTTCAGCCACATGCGGATGGTCTGCTTGGCCACCTCCTCCTCAATGGTGTACTCCAGCTGCTCCCTGGCCAGCAGCTCTTCCAGCTGCAAACTCTTGCGGATGTCCACTGACCGGTAGGAGAGCATGCTGTGGGCCGGGGGGGGCGGGGTATAGTGGTGAGCTCTGATGCCCCTGGGTGCCAGGCTCGTGGCCATCACAGAATCCAGAGAGGAGGCGACTCCATCCAGCCAGTGTAAGTTTCCGATGCCATCCCGACCAGCTGATTATGTCGCCGCCCTGTCTCCACCCTCATCTATCAGCCGGGGAGAGTCATGGACCTGCCTTTCCACAGGATGAAGTGTGCTACTATCTGCAAGGTGCTTACCACACCATCAGCATTCATAAAACAAAAGATCCAGGCTAGGCTATGACCTTCATTATCAGCTGCTTAAGAGTCTGGAACTTCCCCTGTAGAAGGAAGACTGTTCTTGCTATACTTTCTTCACATTCAGGTCAATTTGGTGATGGTCCTTGTGCTTACAAGTAGATGCTTGTTGGTTATCCATTTTAAATAAACCATTATGTACTGGTCCATTCCAAACTCCCTAATGGTATGTGGCAGCCTGGATGGGAGGGGAGTCTGGGGGAGAAGGGATACACGTGTATATGCCCGAGTCCCTTCGCCGTTCACCTGAAACTATCACAGCATTGTTAACTGGCTACACTCCAACACAAAATAAAATGTTTAATTAAAAAAAAATCATGTTTATATACAGAAAAATTTGGTGATGGTCAATATGATTGGCTGTGGGTCACGTATCCCGTTCCCCTGGCCCCCCACCATTTCCCTCTCAATTTATCTCATTTGCTCCCTGAGATCTTCCTCATTCATTATATTTTTTAAACATCTGTTTTTATTTACTTATTTGGCCGTGCCTGGTCTTAGCTGCAGCGCTTAGGATCTTCCATCTCGGTCGTGGCATGTGGGATCTTTAGTTGTGGTACGAAGTGAAGTGAAGTGAAAGTCGCTTAGTTGTGTCCAGTTCTTTGCAACCTCATGGACTGTACAGTCCATGGAATTCTCCAGGTCAGAATACTGGAGTGGGTATCCTTGCCCTTCTCCAGGGGATCTTCCCAACCCAGGGATTGAACCCAGGTCTCCTGCATTGCAGGCAGGTTCTTGACCGGCTGAGCCAGCAGGGAAGCCCAAGAATATTGGAGTGGGTAGCCTATCGCTTCTCCAGTGGATCTTCCCAACCTAGGAATCGAACCTCATTGCAGGCGGATTCTTTACCAACTGAGCTATCAGGGAAGCCCGGCATGCAGACTCTTAATTGCGGCATTGAAGGTCTAGTTCCCCAACCAGGAATCAAACCCCCGCCCCCAACCGCAAGGAGTCTTAGCCACTGGGCCACCAGGGTAGTCCCTTCCTCATTCATTTCAGATGGGCTCAAAGCCAGGGTGCAACGCTCACTCTCATTCGGCCCTTAGCACAACAGGCCCAGACAACAGGCAGATGACAGCGACTCAGCCGACACGCCGCGTGGGGGCGCCTGGGCAACGAGGCACCTCACGTGTCCAGGCCGAGGGGCTCGCAGCCAAAGGGGGATACGGAGCCCTCCAGCAGTTGGGTGCTGTTCCGCGTAGCCCCTGCCTGCCCCCAGCTGTGAGATCACATCCATCTACACAGCCCAGATCACAGCATGGAGGTGCCTGAGGGGCCTTCCCCATGCAGCCCTGGTATCAGTTCCATGACCTACTCTCGATCTAAGCCTCTTCCCACCACCGGGGAAGAAGTGCTCTCCCCTGCCTTGTCAAGAATCTCATCGCTGTGGACCACTTGTGATCATATCCAGGGCGAGAAGGACAAGGAGGGGCAAAGGATGCCTCCATCAGCTTCGTCTGGGTCTATTCGATCAGACACACAATGTCATCTAAAGAGACTGGATGGTAGTTCGTGGGGACAGTGATGTGTCTACACACCCCACTTTCAGTCTGAAACTGTCACTATGAGGAAGATGAGGCGACATTCTGAGAGAGGTGGCACTCTTTGCTCTCATCTGTGTTTTCTGCCTCATCTTGGCCTGCCTTTCCGCTTGCTCCCAGAAGTGAAGAGAGGGAGGTAGAATTGATAACTTGAGAACTTCTCCCAGATCCTTCCTCTGTTCTGGTCATTTTTCAGATTCCAGTTACAACGTATTTCTGTATGCACGGATGCTCCTGAAATTTGTGATGCAATACCCAACATTTAATTGGCTGGGTATTTGCAACACGATGAACATAGCTACTGGTGGTAGAGGGTTTTCTTGACTTTTTCTGGAGCATGGATCCTTTGCCAGTGCAGCCGATGCAACATTTCTTAGCATAAGGTTTTGAATGCAGTACGAAATCCACATTACACAGGAAACGGATTATATAGAAATTGAGTCCTTAGATTATTTTCTTTGAAAAGGTGGTGATACAGTAAAATAAGAACTTCTCTACTATTATATTGAATAATAACATCTAGCTGAGGTGAAATGACTATTATATCTCAGAACTGGGAAGCATAACAGGTATTTTAAGATATCAGACATGCAGTAATGGACATGAAAATGTCTGTGAATTCTACTGGTGATAAAGATACAGCTACTGTATTGTTAATACCACTGTGATTTGTTGCCTGCATTCATCTTTGAAGGAGATGCTGCATTGCAGCCAATGACTAGTGAAAATAAAGATGGAACTGTTTCTCTTTCCAAGACCATGGACCTCTGAATTTTATCCACGGACTCCCATTTAAGAAGCTGTTGAGTTAAATTGTTTTCCCTCAACAAAAGGTATGCAAGAGTCCTTATGCCAGGCCCTCAGAGTGTGATCTTATTTGGGAAGAGGTCACTGCAGATTGGGCTTCCCTGGCGGCTCAGACTGTAAAGAATCTGCCTGCAGTGCAGGAGACCCAGGTTCGATCCCTGGGTCGGGAAGATCCCCTGGAGGATGGCATGGCAACCACTCTAGTACTCTTTCCCAGAGAATCCCATGGACAGAGGAGCTGGTGAACTGCAGTCCATGGGGTCCTAAAGAGTCAGACACGACCGAAGCAACCGCGCATGCACACGCACGCACTGCAGATGTAATTAGGTGGAGGTTGTGCTGGAGTAGGGTGGGTCTTTCATCCGAGATGATCTGGTGTCCTTACAAAGGGGACAGCTGGACAGACACACAGACACACACACATGGAGCATGTCCCGTGAAGATGAAGGCAGAGATCAGGGTGATGCTTCCACAGGCCAAGAAACACCAACAATGACCAGCACGCCACCAGCAGCCCCAGGCGAGACCTGGATCCGATCCTCCCTCCCAGCCTCAGAGAGAACCCCGCTGCTGACTCCTTGAATTCACTTCCAGCCTCCAGACAATCCACTTGCCTGCTGAGACCACTCAGAGCGTGGGATTTTGTTAAAGCAATCCTAGCAAATAATGCAGAAGCTGCTCAGAGAGAAGAAAGGGCTGAGCCTCCGTCTGCCCTTCTCTGTCCTATCTGGGGTCCTCAGGAAATGTCTGGAAATGGGGTGTGTCAACCAAGCAGGGGCACCCGTCTCTGGGTGGGCCAGGCAGACTCTGGTCGGACCCATGGGTGAGAAGACTGATCAGACTGCAGCCCCAGCTTGGCTCCAGGAACTGAGCAGGTCCCCGGGCTTCTGGATGTCTTCCTTCCTGCTAACGAAGGGGGAGGGGGCTCATCGCCCCTGCAGCTGAGACCCAGAGCTGGGAGCCACCCCCCGCCCCACCGCCCCCCAAGACCCCGCCCCCGCCCCACCCCACCCCCCACGCCCCCGCCCCCGCCCGTACCTGAGCACGTCATGGAAGGTGACATCACCGCCATTGTGTAGGCGCTCCATCTCGTAGCACATGTGCTTGAACAGAAGCTTGTCCTTGTCCAGGTCCACCTCCAGCCTGCCCCGCAGCAGCCGCAGCAGGAACTTCACGCGGAAGGTCGGGATCACCCCCTGGCGACGGACCGTGGGGATGGTTGTTAAGTCGCAGAGGATTCTATGCGACCCCATGGACTGTAGCCCGCCTGCCTCCTCTGCCCATGGTGTTTCTTTCCCAGGCCAAGGACACTGGAGTGGGTCACCCGCTGGTGACAGAGCATGTTGATGGTTGTCGCATAGGACTCTTTGCGACCCCATGGACTGTAGCCTGCCTATCTCCTCTGTCTGTGGGATTCTCCAGGCAAGAAGACTGGAGTGGGTTGCCATTTCCTTCTCCAGGGCATCTTCCTAACCCAGGGGATCGAACTCTCGTCTCCCACACTGGCAGGCGGGTTCTTTGCCACTGAGCCACCGAGGAAGCCTGGCAACAGAGCACTGCCATTCGGGAATCATCCTTAGGCCACCATGATTTGCTTGGCGTTCTGTTTTCACAGCCAAAGAGCCCACAACTAGTATTCAAAAGCTGCCATAAACCAGCACGAGAACGAGGAAGCTGCTGGCGGGCGGGTCTGCACAGCCGGTGGAGACCAGGATGAAGAGCTGGCTCCTGGGAGTTTCTGAAGGAGCTTCTCCGGTTCTGGGGGGTGGGGTGGGGACAGGGACATCCCCGCCACCTCGGGCACCCAGGAGCCAGGAGGGGCAGAGGTCACCCTCCGCCTCCCCAGCACGGCTCCTGCTTTACGTCTCTCCCGGTGCCTGCCGCACGGACTCAGCCCGTGCTCATGTTTCTCTAACACGTGAGCCGAGAGGACAGCGATGCACTGAGTTGAACACGGGGGGCCCACGTGGACATGATCCTCCTCTTCACTTAGTCCAGATGCTGGGCATGGCTAATTATGGATTCTGAGTTGCTCTTCTGCCGAAAGACCACTCCTTTCCGGGTCCTCTTCAGCATGAGGGCAATCCCATCCAGGAGACCCAGCTCCCAGCAGAGACAGACTCCGAGCCCCTAACATGGGTCACTCCCTTCGGGGCAGCGACACCTGCAGTGCCAGCCTGGCTCTGACTTTGAATGGAAGAACTGGGCGAGAGTCAGGGAGGCTGGCAGCCTGTGAATTCCTGCCAGTGACTAACGTCCACACGTGTGAGCGGTGTGCCGACTTGCGTGTGTCCGCGGAGGGCAGGCCCTGCAGGCGGCAGTGATGGAGAGCTCAGCAGATCCAGGTGAGATGGAGGCCAGGTCAGCATCTTGGAAGAAACCCCCCCAGACCAGTGCCCGGGGCGGGGGGTTCACCAAGGGGAGAGAGAGCACAGGGCCTAGGGAAGCCGTGCGCCCCCCTGCAGACCCCAGCCCTGATCCAGGAAACCATGTCCGCTCTGCTTCCGGCTCCTTGGCCTCTGCGTCCGCAGTCTATTCTTCCAGAAACCATTTCCAGATCTTCCCCCAGGTCTGCCCGTGGCTGACCTTCCCTCGTTCCTCAGATGTTAAGTCAAATAACACCTGCTCGGCCAGGCATTCACGACCACCCTGCTAAAACATCTGCCCCCAGCTCCAGCCACTCTCAACTGTGTCACATCTTTGTCAAAGTGTTTATCGCTTCTTGAAATAAAAATCATCATCACAATCATTACTGTTTCACTTTTTATAGTTTTTCTCCCTGTAGACTCTGCGAGCACAGGGACCTTGCCATCTTGTTCATGGTCGCGTCCCTGCTGCCTAGAACTGTGCCTGAGGGTTTGCGAGGATGAAGGAGGAAGAGGAAGAAGGGGAGGAAGGAGGGGGAGGGGTAGGAGGTGAGGAAGGAAGAAGGGGGGAGAGGAGGGGGAAGGGGTCAGGAAGGCGGGGGCGGGGGCAGGAGAGGGGGAGAGGGGGAGGAGGGGGACAGGAGAAGGGCAGCTGCTGCTCTGACTCACTCTAGGAACTCTTGGATAAGCTTTATGATGAAAACATTCAAATAGTAAGTCCAAAATTGTAAGTTTCAGAAACCACTTAAATAACTCCTTTGCACTTCCAATCAGAATTGCTGTTTGAATCTGCCTTACAGGTCACTACGGTGATGTGAACCTCACCCCATCCTGCCCTGAGCCCAGATTGGCCTCTTGAGAGCTCCCTTTGGTTTCCTCTCCTTGAAGACCTTCCGAATGTCGGAAGGAGAGGACACTCGTGGTTGGAAAGAACAGGACAGGGAGCTCTTCGGTCCCTCTCCCCTCCTAGCGCGTCCTACTAAATTGTCAATGACAGTGTTCTGCAATTCAGCAATGGCCGTTCTATGCAAATTCAATACATGTCAACCATCAACAACAAAACCACTGAAAAGTTTGCAATAAGGCATTAAGTGTCTTTGGGGTGGGGCATGAGATAATAATCGACTCTCTCACCTCTCTTTTATCATCCACCATGTTCCATATGATTTGAAAGTGGCGAAGATCATTGTAACTTAAAAGCTGGTCCTCCTCAGTGGAATAAAACAGGGAGAAATTCTCCACAATTATGGCTAAAGAAAAAAAAGAAAAGAAAAATGAGGATGTTAGGCAATTATGCTAATCTGTCATTTTTCCCAAAAAGTAAAACATCGATTATAAATAATGAATTTTATCACCTACATTATAAGCCAAATTTTTAAAGGGCTTTTAGTACGGTTTCCAAGTTGGCATGTTTTACACTTGGACCGGGCTATTTATCCAGCTCCTGCCTTTCCAAAACATGAGGGTCATGAGCATAAACATGCATTCTGTGTCTATAGCTACTCACGCCAGCTGGCTTCAACTCTTCATTGAGAGTTCCCAGGCACTTTTTAAACATCAGATTGAGTTCTGGTGGCCCCAGAGCTGGGTGGACAACATACATCTTTTGAAAACATTAATTGTGATATTTCAAGGCTGCAAAGGTAGCCTTTTCTGATATTTGTTCAACTGAACCCATGAGAAGAGCTTTTGAAATTAATGGACATAATAAATAGGACAACTCTTGAAATTGCAATCAACTGTCATTTATGTGCCTTTCAAAGGTCTTTTCAGTTTCTGGACCGAGAGGCAACAATTTATAATTAATGCCATAAAACACCCACCCCAAGCAACCCGGGATAATTACTTGGAAATTGTGCATAATTATCTAACAACCTGAGTTTAAAGAGATTGAAAAATATTCAATGAGCATCACTTACCTACAAGCAGATTTAGCATGATGTAGGCAATGATGACATAAAATGAACAGAAATACATAAGTGCCCCGGCATAATTTCCACAGTCTGTTGCCCAGTATGTAAATTCATCGGGAGTACAAAAGGGGGGCTGGACCTGTGGGGCCATGGCAGGGAAGAGGCAGGGGCCAGGGAAAGAACAGAGGAGAATATAAATTCCCCTTATCTAACTATGATTGTGAACGTATTCCTAACAATATAAAATATAATTAACTTCAAAGTGATCTCTCAGAGCCCCATACACTGGGTACACCATCTGTGGCCAAAATCAAAAAGAATATTTCATTTATGCCACGCTTTTGGCCTTGCAGAATCCCAAGTTCATTGCTGTTTGAGAAGCACAACAAAAATGAAGCCGTTTCTCCCAAGAGACACTTTTTGCCACCTCCACTAGCTCCAAAGAGTCAGTAGTCGCCGTGATGCAAAATGCAGAAAGTCAGATAAAAAGGTGTTTTAAAAAATTCTCTGACTTCAGTAATGGCTTAAGATTTAGGAAGATTCGCGCTTCACAGCAAATTCACATTCAGATTATGTAAGGAAAAGCCAGAATCCTAATTCTTGGAGCATCCTTATGAGACATCATTAAATGGCACAAGATTTCAGGTTATCAAAAGCCTTCTTCTTTTTTTTTTGATGTGGATCCATTTTTAAAGTCTTTATTGAATCTGTTACGATATTACTTCTGTTCTATGTTTTGGGGTTTTTTTTGGCCTCGGGGCCTGTGGAGTCTTAGCTCCCCGACCAGGGATCAAATCCGAACCTCCTACATTGGAAGGTGACGTCTCAACCACTGGGCCACCAGGGAAATACCTAAGCTTGCCCATTCTCCACTGGCCCAATAAAACTCACACCCCTCTCAGAGACTTCCGGGTTTCTTTCTGTCAGGGAGACCTAGGTCTGTCTTCTACATTTCCACGGCCTTCTGCTTGCTTATTTTTTTATCTAGAATTTATTCGATTCTGCCTTGTATTATTTTGGCTTTGGTAAATTCTGTCTCTGTTCACTCATACATAAAGTTCCTGAGCTCCTCCTCTGGGTTTGGTTTATTCCCAGGCCGCTCCCCTCCTCCCTGCTGCTAACAGTCTGGAGGCCTGCAGGCCACCGGTAGCTGCCAACTCCACATCAGTGACAGTAAATGTCAGTCGCTCAGTCGTATCTCAGGGCTCATCTGTCCAAGGGATTCTCCAGGCAAGAATACTACTAGACGGGGTTGCCATTTTCTCCTTCAGGCTATCTTCCTCACCCAGGGATTGAACTCGGGTCTCCCACATTGGAGGCAGATTCTTTACCATCTGAACCACCAGGGTGGTTCAGCCCCACTCCATGGGGCTATCTAAATTCAAAGTTATGTTCATTAACAGTCAATACAATTAAAATGCAATGGAAAATTCAATTCCTCAGTTGCACTAATCACACCTCAGCGGCTCAATAACCACACAGGGGTGGTGGCCACTGAACTGCCCTGGGCAGAAATTTGCAGAAATTTCTTTTGTCCGTTGGTCTGGAGGGTCAGAGGGAGATGACATGAACCAATCAAGCTGATAACTCACTGTGGTTGTGTGAGCAACCACACAGCAACGAAGAAATACAGAATACCGGGAGAACACAGAACTGCAGTCTTAGTGTTGGGCAGGGTTCCTGAAGAACTGAGCTTTAAACTGAGACCTGAGGATGGTGAAGACTTAGTCCCGAGAAGCAAGGACACCTGAGGAAGAGTATTGCTCGGAACCCCTCGGTTCCGAGGGGAAGAGTATTGCTCGGAGTATAAGCTCCTCGAGAATGCCTTGGACTTGCTGATGCCCTAGCACCTAGGACAGGCCAGCACAGAAACAGGGGCCTAGTGAGTATCTGTTGAATAAATTAAATCAAAGATCAGAACTCTCCTCTTTGAACTTGACTGCCAGAATGTCAAAGAGAGAAGGGACAAACAATGCTCAAATGACGCAAATTTGTTGAATGGAACTACAATAGCTTGAGTTGGATTCACTGATATCTTTCTTGTATGTGTATATACTGTAATTTAAGAGGATGCAGCTTTATGGATTAAAGCGCCAGGATATGTGTTTTGTATAGTCTTGACACTACAAGAATGATGATGCCATTACATCACTAAAGAGTTTCATCTGCTTCTAAGTCTAGGCATTGTTAGCGATGAAGAGACATTTACCATACAGTCATGCATAATCTTATTCCAATCTTCTCCTGTGACAATTCGGAACAGTACAGTAATAGCTTTGCCAGCTGAAGAAAAGTTTGCATGCCTAATTTAAGGAAAAACAAACAAACAAACAATATGAGTGATAAGGTTGGTCATGAAGTAGGAAGGGTTGTCACTACCAAAACAGGTGGATTTTGGAGCAAATTTGGTTGCTAAGCTACCATTTCCAAAGGTTACAGCCTCTTATTTGTTTGTTATTTATACTTGCCTCCAAGTAGAGCTGTCTCAATAGCTCAACCCTAGCACAGCGCCAACAATTTATTGCCACTCATCTTGCATGACTGGGAAAGCAAGCTTTGACAATTAAGACTGATTCCTTCTTTTACAAAGATTATGCTATAAAAGATGGAACCACCATGTATCAAATAAGTAGTCTCTGCAACACAATACATTTAATTTTTTTTCTGTAAGGACTTAAAAAAAAAGCACTCTGATACGGTTCCATGAAATTTAAGACAATCTTTGAAAAATGCTTTTCATGTATGATAATAATCTGTGGGTCCTAACTTACAATGTTTGTCTTAAAAAAAGGAAAAAAAAAACCCAGAGCCATCTCAAAATTGTTTAATTTAAAAAAAATAATATATCACTTCTGGCAGTATGTGGATAGAAAAGTTGCTGGAATTCACCAGGCATTAGAAATGGTTATTTCTGCATGGGGATGGAATTATGGGTTCTTTTTGTTTTCTTTTATTTCTGAATTTTCTAAAGTTTCTAAAGTAAGCATGCATACTGTTTTCAACGAGAAAAACATCATTTAAAATTTGGTCATTTTACTTTGTTTTAATTTTCAAATAATTGCTTCCCCATCTTTGTTTAAAACATGCAGATATTTACTCATGGCTTCATTACTAAAAAAGCTTACTATTTGAATACAAAGATAAATATACACCAACCTGTTAATATTTTCTCCATATTTCACAGTACCAAATAAGACAACTCCAGCGAAAGCATAACACAGCAGCAATAGGAACATGCCCACTATGATAAAGAAGCTTTTATACATGCTGACGACCACCGTCAGGAGAAGCATCTTTAGTGTTACCTGAATGGAGATGAAGGATTTGGGGGTGGGGGTGGGGAAAGAGAGAAAAAGAAAGAGAGAGATACAGGGAATATTTAATTCACAAGCCATCTTGGGAAGGACATGCCATGGAAGCAGTTTGACATAAAAGTGATTTACAAGGATATCATTTGAAAGTTGCTTGCTCAGTGGGAAAGAAACGGGGAAGATCCCCTGGAGAAGGAAATCCCGTGGAGAGAGGAGCCTGGTGGGCTACAGTCCCTGGGGTTGCAAAGAGTCAGACATGACTTAGCAACGGAACAACAACAACAGTATTTGGAAGCTGCTTGCTATTTGGTATTAAATTGGAACATTATTAAAACCATTTGACAAAGAGAAATTCTACTTGTATCTCAAACTTCAGCCTCTTTTGCCAAATTAATGAAAGTTCCACCCTAATATTTTTAGCCTCCAATTTTTCTCTTCTCTTGCTAACTGATTCTCTACGATACCTTTTATATATTTTCGGCTGAAAGCAAGTAGACCCAGGATTCTTACACAAATAGACATTCACAAAAACAAATCTGAACAGTGGTAAAATGCCAAATAATCATCAAATACAAAATATATTGATTATGTGGAAATATGGACTATATATGAAATAAAGTGAGTAACAAAAAAGGAAACCGTGCCTTAAAAATGAAAAATACATGTGCAATGTGTTGAGCATTAACAAGGATATCAAGAAATCTGGAATCATAGGATCATGAATGTTTGTTGAAGATTCTCCTTTGCATTGAAAATGACTTGTGTGTGTGTGCTAAGTCACTTCAGTTGTGTCTGCCTCCTTGTGATGCTATGGACTGTAGCCCACTAGGCTCCTCTGTCCATGGGATTCTTCAGGCAAGAATACTGGAGTGGGCTGCCGTACCCTCCTCCCAGGGATCTTCCCGACCCAGGGATTGAACCCGAATCTCTCATGTCTCCTGCATTGGCAGGTGTGTTCTTTACCACCAGACCCACCTGGGAAGACCTCCAAAATGACTTACCTTTACGAAAAATAAAAATGATAAAAATAAAGAAGCATTGAGAAAGACCATTAGTTTTTCCTTTCATGCTTGATATGTTATCTTTAAATGATGACTGAGTTCACTTAGCAAATTAGAAGAATAAAAAGAACAACACAAATGTCAGGAAACATATCACAAGATAACTAAGCAACCGATTTATTTCATTATTTGCTCATTTTGACTTATGGTGTCTGGGAATTTGTTAGCTGCAGCCCTGGAGACCCAGAAGGGCAGCCACAGTCAGCAAGTCATTCTCCTTCCTTCAGTGTACATGTGACCTTTCACAGCATCTTCACAAGGTACTCACATGCTTCCCGCAGATGGAGAAAAACCGGAAGACAATCACGCACGCTCCCATCATGTAGGTGTACGCGTTCTGCAATTTAAAAGGACAGCCCCTCGTAATTTGCACAAAAGATCTTGTTACAGTCCCATTTTTCATTTTCAGCTTCTGTGAAGTCTACTGAATAATGAGCTTAATAAAATGTGAAAATTCCTCTTAAGAAATTTATCTTAAAAAGGTGCTGAAAAGGTCACCGCCAAAACTCATGAATAAGTATTAGCTATAAAATCAAACCTTAATCAGAATTTTCGTCTCCGTGTTGCTCAGCTGAACTCTGTATTTTAAAACTTATTTTACATATTGATAAAATAGTGACCAGCTCCTTGGAGGGGCAGGAAATCCCTGGAATAACAATGCAACAGAAGAAGTCGAGGGAGACAGCAGATAAAGGGATCCCAGCTTCTTCTTCCAACCAGAGAGGGTGCTGGTGCAGAAAGAGACCGTGGGGTCAGCTCCAGCTTCCCTCTCTCTGAAGGTCTCCTCTGGAGACCAGCCGGCCGCATGCACGTTAGTCTAAGCTGATTTCAGAGAAGTCCCCTTACTCTCAGAAACACACCCAGCTCTTCCTTCAAGTGTGTGATTGGCAGCAAGAGATGACTCTGTGTGCTCCATGACAAAGAGAGCTTCATCTGAGAACAAACAGCCCACCAGCTGCAACCGCAATGACAATGGTGGGGTTAAGCTGATGTCAAAGCTTGATTATTCCCCGGGGAACCTTGCTTAGTCAAATGATGCCCATCACAGATGGGTCCTCGGCAAGGGAAGTTCCTTGGTGAGGGGCAAAGAAATAAAACTGAAGCTCCGATACTTTGGCCACTTGATGGGAACAGTCAACTCGTTGGAAAAGACCCTGATGCTGGGAAAGACTGAAGGCAGGAGAAGAGGGCGACAGAGGATGAGACGGTTGGATGGATCGCTGATTCAATGGACGCGAACTTCGAGAAACTCTGGGAGACGGTGAGGGACAGGGAAGCCTGGCGAGCTGCAGTCCATGGGGTCACAGAGTTGGACACGACATGGCGACTGAACAACGACAGCAAGGAAATGAATGAGTCTGCACAGGAGCATCTTTGGATGGGAACAAGGACTGCACCTTCCTTCACAACAGTCCGCTGCATGACAGAGCAGAGAAGGAATGTTCTTTCAGGACCACAGGTTCTCAGAGAAGGGCAGGAGCAGTCAGGCAGAAGGCCGAGCTGGTCTTGCAGGTATGACATATTCTCTCTGGGGACACCCAGAATTAGGAAGCTTACTCACTGTCCTGCTTGGAACATGTAGCCTCGGCTACAATTTGTCTGGAGAAAGAGACAAGCATGGACTTTGCTGCTCCTTCTTGCTGTGTGAGCCCAAAGCCTAGTGTAGATACCTTCTTTCTTTGCATTCTGGAAGTGATGACACCCCATGCTCCCAGGATGACGGCCCAATCCTTTACCTGAACTACCAGGTCTGAGAGGTCTGACACACTTTTTTCATTTTATTTATTTTTTTTAAACTAACTTTATTTATTGGAGTATAATTGTTTGACACTGTTGTGTTAGCTTCTGCTGTACAATAACCTTAATCAGCTATACGGATACATATGTCCCCTCCCACGTGAGTACCCCTCCCCTCCGGCATCCCATCCCTCTAGGTCATCACAGAGCACCAGGCTGAGCTCCCCGTGTTGTGCAGTAGCTTCCCACTAGCTGTGTTACACGTGGGAGTGGATATATGTCGGTGCTGCTCTCTCAGTTCGGCCCCCTCTCCTTTTCCCAGCTTGTATCCATAAGTCCGTTCTCTGCATCTCTAGTCCTGCCCTGAAAGTAGGTTCATCAGTGCCATCTTTCTAGATTTTATATATATATATATATATTTTTTAAACCAATGTTTGCTTTTCTCTTTCTGACTCACTTCACTCTGTATGACAAGTCTGATGCTTTCTCACCCAACCAGATCTGGTACCGTGTTCTCTGGCCCCTTGGATCCCTGTGAACTCTCCCATCATAGGGACAGCTGCCCAGAATGTTCTGCCCTCACCCTACAGGCTGAACCCAGTCATCACTCCCTGGGGCATGCCTTCTAGAATATCTCTGATGAAGCCAATGCACTGCCCTGTGTCATCACAGGGACACAGGTCTCCCCATCGCCCTCACTGTAACTGTGATTCTCATCGACCGGTAATATTTGATGAATACAGGTCTGAAGTTCCAGGCTGTGTGGTTCTTGACAGCGGTACTGTCTCTGTCTTGCCCATGACATTCTTCTCAATTCCTGGCAGTGACTTGCAGCTCTTTAATGCTCTGAACCATCTGTCATGTAAGGAAATGAGTTTGGGTGACTCAGAGCCCACCTGGGCTTGGCATAGCCCCTGATGCTGAAGGTAACACCTGTTTTGAGGACACTTGGTATGTTTCTGAGCACAGAAATCCCATCCTAAAGCAAGGTCTGGAGAGAAATGGGGCTGGAAACAGGATTACCTGAACTGAGATTACTGACTACAGTGAACTTCAGTGATGTGCTTACCAGGAGGGCAAAGTGAAGGACCACCCAGACAACACCCAGTGACGTCACCAGCAGATCGTATCGATTTCTTCTGCTTTGCCAGAAGCCAGCAGGTGACATTGCTATGATCTTCATCGTAACCTGGGGAAAAGGAATGAAGATGATGAGCTGACGCTGTGTTCAGCAGCACTTATTTAAATGTACTAACTTGAAGCACATTATATTTTAAAGGATGTAAAAACCAAAGAGAACTCTTTATTACTGATGCATCTATGTATATACATGTGTGTGTGTGTGTGTGTGTGTGTGTGTATGTGTTTATATATATATAAACAGGTTCCCCTGGTGGCTCAGTGGTAAAGTATCCACCTGCCAAGATTTCATCCCTGGGTTGGGAAGATCCCCTGGAGAAGCAAGAGGCAACCCACTCCTGTATTCTTGCCTGGGGAATTCCATGGACAGAGGAGCCTGGCAGGCTACAGTGGATGGGGTTGCAAGAGTTGGACACGACTCAGCGACTAAATAACAACAAATATATATGTAAATACACACATATATATGCAAATCTATATTCTCCACACTCTTTTCTCCTTTTATGACTAGTTCCGATAGCAGGACATTTTTCTTCCTCAAGTAAAAGGCCATAGATTTTGGGAAACATCAATCGGTACAGGGTGAAAAAAGAAATCTCATTTTTCAAAGAGGACTGCACTGGAAACTGATGTGATATGGGCCATGTATTCAAAAAATCTTGCCTGGGCCAACTCCGTTTGCCACCACATTGTAATTTGAATCCCTGAATGATGGTGGAACGCACCTAACTAGACAGGCTGACTTTCAGATACAACAATCAACAGCAGTCAGCAATTCCTGTCATTAGAAAAAATGGAAATATAAAGTGAAGTGTTTGTTCAAGCAAAGCTCAAACAGCCTAAAAGGGAAACCGTCTGAGAGCATGCCATTCCCTTCCCCCAAAAGGACTTCAAAAGCCAGGGGACACATAGCAGAAAGGAAGGGGCCCTAAAGGATGAGATTGCTGAGAAGGTGCGCTGTGGGCCCCGGCTCCCGCTGACCCAGGACTGTACCTCCAGAACGAAGATGAATGTGAAGACGACTGACATGGTGGCCAGAGGGACAGTCACGGGGTCCTCGACGTCCCACTGGAACAGAAAGAGCACGCAGGTCTGCGTCTGCGTCCATCAGCTTGGGAACACTCGCCCCTCCTCCTCCCGTCTGAACACCACTGGGAACTTTAATTTTTTATAAACGCAGACTGCAACTGGACATGGCTGCCTGAAATGTTCTTGGACCCACCAATGAATAAACAATTTCACTCCCAGGGTCTTTAAGGGTGCAATAAAGTACCTTGACGGACAGCAACACCGACTGAGCCAGGACCAGTAATGCGATTGTCCTCTTAAAAAATGGATGCTGGGTTATGTCATACATCTTAGCTCTAAAACCATCATTATCTGAAACAGAAAGGTTTAGGCAAGGACCTTTTAGACATAGGTCACATTTACATTCTTGCCTTTCATTTTTCTTTAATGCTCATCTTAAAACCCATTACATTTTTTTTTTTCCTCCTACAGTTCAATCTCTTGTAAAGTGTTTTGCAGGAACGGCTGGGTCTGAATATTTAAAACGACGGTGCATGAAGCTGTCTGTATTGGAAGGAGAAGCGCATCATTCAATTTCTGTCAGTTTAATACATTTCACTCACGTGTTTAAAAGGCAAGCACAAATATATTTTATTTAAAAATTCATTTTTTCATTAAGGCTTATCCTAAGAGCACTGAAGCATGGCCTTTGGGTGGTTGATTTTAATAGCCTACGGAGAGATCTGTAGTTTGGAGCCTGTTTCTATGTTAACTTATGCAGAACCGCCTAGTGGCCTCGCGATTATTATTTTAATTGAAATCTTAGACTCCCGGGGAATCATGAACACTAGTGCCCAACATGAATAAAATCAGAGCATCTTTGATACCCGGGCGAGGTGGCAGATGAAGAGGCTGTGCTATCTTCAGTCGACTCTTCAAATCTTCCCATCTTCTCTGATCTACAGTCAGCAGAGCCGTCCCCTTAATAAAGAAAGGAAAGCAGAGAGAGACCCTTTGTCACGTGCTCCACGCCAAGGACACTGCAAATGGGCTGCTGCTACTAACAGGATGGATGTGGGTTTCAGACAAAGACATTCTTCCAGTACCGCGGTGGCTGGATAAACATGGTCAGAATTCTCTCACGTGTTCTTGAGAGGAATTCCAGAAAGGAACAGCTGTGGGATTAGAGAACATTCAGCAGCCTTCAGCTGGCATCTTTGAACATGTATGAGACTCAGGTTTGAGAAAAATCTAAAGAAGGTTTTCGACATGATTATATTTCCAAAAAGGGATACTTACTCTAACAGTGGTTAGCTCCCTTCCCTTTCGTCGGAGAAAATGCTGCAGCAACATGACAGCTTGTCTAAGCTTCTGCTTCTGGTTAAGATTATTGTGTCTTTTGAGAAATCATTCTGATACATGCAATCATGAGACTTTATTTTTCAGTGGTTTGAGGTCAGAGAATTTGGATCTTTAAGAAATTAGCACTGCGACAACCGACTAATGAGATCGGGCATTGTTATGTAATAGAGCACTTTATAACAATGCACATGAATTTACTATGTCACATTTCATTGCATTATATTATAAAGACAGAAGTATAATTGAAGAACCTCTGAAGGAGGGCATGGCAACCCACTCCAGTATTCTTGCCTAGAGAATCTCACGGAGAAAGGAGCCTGGCTGGCTGCAGTCTATAGAGTTGCAAAGAATTGGACATGACTGAAGCGACTGAGCATTCATGCATAATTTAAGAAACTGGGAAAAACACCTCCCCACTCCCAGTGTGACTTACCTGACACGGAGCTAACTGTGCCTGAGGGGTACCCTTCTCACTGCATTTGCGACTTTGGCCACTTATGTATGCATAAATATATAAAAACGTGTTTGTTTTGAATTTTAAAAATTATGTAAATGGTATTCTACATGTGGTAACTTATGCAGTTTTGTTTTTATCTTCATTGAACATTATGTTTTCCATACAACTAGATACAGATCTGATTAGTTTCTGTCAACCGCTCACACAGTATCCCACTGTATAAACCTGTCAGAAGTTATCATTTTAGGTTTACAGACTATAAAGAATGCTGCCATAAACACATGTGTACTGTCTCATGGTAAACGTCTTGTTCTGTGCTAAATCTCTAAGAGAGGAACTGCTGGGGTCTAGAAGTTTATGTATTTCCACATTTACCAAGGATTTCCAAAAGAGCAATAATCAACAACATTGGTTTCAACCCACAGGTGTTCCCATTTCCTTATATTCTGGCCCATACTTGACTTTATCAGATATTTTAATTTGGAAATTTGATGAGTGTGAAATATATCTGATATAGCTTTAATATTAATGAGATGATACATTTTAATATGTATAAATGGTGATTTCCAGGTGTTCCTTTGAGAATTGCCTGTTCATATTCTTTGCTCATTTTTGTATTTGGATATTTACTTCTGATGCTTTGTAGAAATTCTTAGTATATCTTGGATACTAATCTTTTGTCAGGTATGTGAATTATAAATATTTTCTCAGCTTTATTTTTTAAAATTTTGCTTAATATGTCTTTTATCATTCAGAAACTTTTCCTCTTAATATAATCTGACTTGTAAATGATTTTTCTATATGGATTTCACTTTGTGGTTAATGTTAAGAACTCTATAACTATGCCAGGGTCAAAAGCAGATTCTCCATGGTTTAAAATGGTTAAATTTTGCTTCTCATAGTTGGGTCTTTCATTGATCTGGAATTTATTCTTGAGTAGGCTGTAAGGTAAAAATCTCAGTTTCTGAGATCTAGACAATTACCCCAGCATCACTATGGGTAGTCTTATCTTCACCACTGACTTGTGCTACTTCTGTTTCATATACACACGGGTCTCTCCCAGGGCTCTGTGTTCTATTCTGTAAGCCTAACTTTCTATCCCTGTAAGAGTGACAACACTATTTTACTTACCATAGCTTGCTTTTCCACATTTTTGTTCATGCTTACCTCTGCAAGAGGCTTATCAGTCTAATTATTATAACAAACCAGCTTTTACCATTCTCAGGCTTTTCTATAAGTTACTTTGGTTTGATACCATTAATTTCTGTTCTTATTTCTGTTATTTTCTTTCTCTCATTTTCTTCTATCTCACTTTGTTACTCTGGTTATAATTTATTGATCTGTATATTTGGCACATTAATATTTGATATTTCTCTAACATGTACGCATAAGCTATACATTTCCATCTATTACTGATTTACATATACCTTGTGAGTTTTTATGTTATTTTTATAAACAATTTATCTAAATGCTTTGAGATTTTCTATCACAAAAAACAATCTTTCCTAAAAGGTTCACATAATTGAGAAATTTACATCTCTAATGAACTGATCATGTTTTTAATGTCTGTTATACAGTTTCTTCCATTTTCCCTTTTTCCTAAGAGCCCGTCTGAGCTGACATCCACTCTCTGTTCTCTCAGGCCAAGAGGTTTCTTTCTTTCTTCCTTCCGAACATCAATACAACCAAGACCTCTGGTTATTCTGCTTACTTCAGCATTCCTCTAAGTTCAAGGGTTGCAATTAATTATGCACCTGCCTTCGCTTACTGGACATTTTATGTTGTTTCATTTTTGTCGCTGAATTGGGCCAAATTTGTCTGCAATCAGATCTGCTCAGAGGGCCTGGGAAGGTGTTCTGGGCAAGCAGTCCCTAATCTCTGTCAACTGACTCATTAACTTCAGCCTGGGTTTTGGAATTCTCAGGGTCTGCTCCCTGGCATGGCTCAAAGGCATCTAAAAAGATCCATCATCCTCTTTGCATGTGATATTAAATGGAACACATGGTAGGGCTGAAAGAAACTCATTTATGTATGTGGGAACGTAAAACAGGGGGCTGGGCCAGATGATCTCTATTTTTCTCTCTTTCTCTAAATTCCATGTTTCCATGAGCTGGAATATCATTGGAGGCCAGAGAGGAGATTTCAAGTGATACCATTTGAAAGGCAGAATGAAATGACATCCTCATTAGGCACACATCAAAGGTGGCAACTGGCTGAGTTGCTGGTACCACACACGTGGAGAGCCTGGGAGGACGTGAATGAGACAGTCCTAGGTGCAGCAATGCAAACCAAAGTGCCCTGATGTGAAGGCGTGCAAACTGGTCCCGGCTCTGAGTGATGAGGAACGGCCTGGTGCGAGGCAGGTGAGTCTAGCTTTAATTCAATGCACAGCAACGGGCGACATTTTCACACTCTTGAACCATAGGTAATGGGCTGACATGTAATGGGCCCCACTGCTGAATCCTGGCCCCACCGTCTACTCCTTCCAAACCCCTGCACGATGATTTCACCCCTGTAGTCTGCATTTTAGTTATGAGACTTGAGACATGCCCATGGAAAACCTCAGTGCATGAAAGGAAGATCCACCCTAATCGAACAGAGGGCATCGCAGCCAGGTCCAGAAGAATGACATGCAATGTTTCTCCCAAACTTTTTGCCAGGAAACTACACTTGCTGTTTTCCCTTTGTGAGCTCTTGTACTCCTCATTAGAGCTGCTAGGAACTCAGCAGGCATCCCAAACTCATAAAGGATGCAAAGTTTTATGTGAAATCAGACAAATCTTCCTTTTATCCTAGGAATTAGGATTTCAAAATTTCTACTGCAAGTCCCCACCCACACCCATCAAAACTCTGAGTTCACCTACTGAGTCACCAGGAAGCATCCAATTTACATTTTGTGAAAGTAATATTACCTGCAATCAGTGCCTTGGTTTCAGGTATTGTATTTTGATAACTTTTCTCACAGCCTTTAAATCTGACAATAGGAGATGAGCTTTCTCAGTCCTAGGCAAATTAATGACACCCTTACTAAAAGAGAAGATTTAGCAAGAGAATCTTGCTCTTAAATAACTGCCTGAAAGGCAGCAATGAGGTAGCTTGTTAAAATAGTTATGGAGATTATTTACACCAGTCACGTCACGGTTTAATGCGACTTCACGCAGGGTATGAAAAACAGGACTCAAAGTGAGCTGCTAGGAAAGAGTAAACCCTACGTAATTCAAACCAAGAATTTTCTTACCTTGTTTTCATTGAAATTAGCAATAACCACTCCAACAAAAAGGGTCAGTCCAATCATGCAACCCAGGAATACAAAAACATGAATATAGATTCCATGCATCTGTATAAATGACAAAAAAAAAAAATACAGTTATCCATCAAAGCCAATGAAAGCAGCTGTGGTCGAGTTTAAAGGATTCCAGTGCATGCTTACCGGCCCCACACGATGAATAATAACGTCCCTCACTTCCACCCAGCCTTTCAAGGACAGAACTTCAAACAATGCCAGCATCGCGTTGCCCACGTTGTCAAAGTTAAAGTTCCGAGGATTTGCCCTGTGGGTCAGAAAGAGGAATGTTCCCGTGATATTCTGCTGAGAAGCACCCTGAGGCAATATCTATAACTCCACTATTGGGTGCAAAGTGTACCTGGCACTTGGAAGGGAGGCTAGGTGATGTTCGTTTACTAACTCATAACTGCATCAGCATGTTAAAATTTATTATGTACTTAATTATTAGGTAATGGGGAGGTGTTCTCAACCCAAAAGGACAAAACACTATGTGACTACTAGCTACAGAGGGTCTGCAGGGTTTCGGGCTGGTCCTGATTATACCGGGGACTTCCGGGTTAGAACTTGTGCAGGAAAGCCTTACAAAGGGGCGCTGGAGTCTGGATGTGAATTTTGGGATAGTTTTACATTAGAAAACCTCTCTAAAGGCATAGATTACAAATGCTGCTCTTAGCACAGAAAGTGTAAAACGTGTTGAATTTGGCCACTTGATTTTATTCTGTGTCATCACAGGAGCAGCAAGCTGTGACCTAGTGATGCTTCAGGGGTCCTGGGGGTGATATGGAGCCTGTGGACTTTATCTCTCATTAACTGCAAGGGACTCAGTGGACACTACTTATAGACCCCAGTGTTGTTTACACCCGCAGTTAACGTCTGATTTCTAAAACTATTTGGCCCCTCTATTCTGGGTGTGTGTGTGGAGGGGTAGTGGTTCGGGGCAATGTCTCATTTTCTGTTTTTCTGACACATTTATACTTTTCTCACTAATATCTCTACTACACTGCAGCTCCCTCCCCCTATTCATTACAAGTCTTAGCCAACAGTTTTATTAACAGAAGAAAATTTTAGTGTTTTTTTCCCTTTTCTGAGGTTACTTTAAATCATTAAAATATTTAGACACTACACGCTGGAAAATCCTGACTACCATCACATTTCCTGGATTTGATGAATTGAGCTCAGGATGACTGAATTGAGTAGACCTACTGAAGCCTAGCTAGACTATATTTTGATAATTTTTCTCTTTTGCTAGCACATTTATCAAAAGTTAACCTTCAAAGGAGGCCAACACTCTTGGGGGAATCTGGTTTAGTATTTTTCTACCAGAGACAATCATGAGATATACTTTTATAAGTTTATTTTTTTTAATGCTAAATACATGGGAATCTAAAAAGAAAACACAATACTGAGACTGACTTGTTTTTAAAGGTTTCGAGCTGATTGGTATATCAGCTTTTTTTCTATGTAGTAAAAAAAAAAAAGCCCTACTCAGAAATACACATTTTGGGATTCTGAAAGTACAGGCATACTCTCTTGGATTTTTCCAACACTCTTTCCTTTTGGGGGTTTCAATTAAATTTAATATATTTTATAGCAGACAGGAGCTGTAAGGATTCTACAGATGTCAGAATTTTCTTGAATAAGGATTTAAAAAATAACAACAACAAAGTGAGTCAGCTCTCAGATCTGATGTCAAACTTTCTTACCCGTCCATTTTCTTTATGTAAGAGTTCTTTCTAAGCTGAATTTGCAGCAACTGAAGCTACTTTTATATTCTAAACCTTTTAGAAGTTAGAATATGTTAAAAAATACTTTTAGGCTAAAACAAAAAAAATAAAATGGAAGATCATAGATTTAAATCACTGGAAGACTAAATAACATTTTAAAAGTCTCAGTTTCAATCATATAAGCTCTCTGTTTATGCTGTGCTCCTGATACTAAAATTGGAAAGTTTGAGACCTCACCAAATCCCAAGCACAATCCATTATTGTCAGTTTCCCTGTGGTCCTTTTATTTTCTTTCCTGGTTAACTTCTGAAAGATTATAATCCCCTGATGCTGGGAAAGATTGAGGGCAAGAGGAGAAGAGGTCAATAGAGGATGAGATGGTTGGATGGCATCATGGACTTAACAGACCTGAGTTTGAGCAAACTCCAGGAGACAGTGAAGGACAGGGAAGCCTGGCGTGCTGCAGCCCCAGGGGTTACAAGGAATCAGACACGATTTAGCGACTGAACAACAGCAAATCTTTGTCCATCCAATTCAGGAAATGAAGAATCAGTTCTGACTCACAATCTGGTCAGTTTTGTACCCCCTGGTGACAAATGCTCCAAGGATCCCAGGTCATGATAAGGAGAGTTGTTCTCTCCTGGGAAGGTGGAGATGTCTTGGAGGAGAGGAATTTAGCCTCTGCCCTGGGATGTGAAGATGCAGCGAATGGTACTGTTCAGAATGGTACCTGGTGTCTGACACATCTCTGCCTTTTACTCTAAAGACATTGGAAACTTGCACTTCTTAGAATGCAGGCTTCTATTTTTGCCTTGCTCTTTGGTGACAGCCCTTTGAATTCACTCAGCCAGCAGCCATCTAACCTCGGCCTCTTCTCTCCCTCCCACCTGCCCGTGGCTCCTCCCCTTCCACCTGCCTAATTCCTATCCACCCTTCAGGAGTGAACTGAGTGTCTTCTCTTTTCGGTCCTTCTCCTTGGTCCAATCACAGTCCGGGTTAGGTGCTTCCCCTGCCAGCGCCACCGCACCTTTCGCCTCTCCTTACCCTAGGATCAAAGGCTGATACACCAGCCTTTTATTATCTCTAGCCTGATAATCAGCTAAAGAAGCTGAAAACTTGAGCCTCGGGACCTCCCTGGCGGTGCCGTGGTTCCGTGGTTAAGAATCCGCCTGCCAGTGCGGGGGACACGGTTCGATCTCTGATCCGGGAAGATCCCACACGCCGCGATGCAGCTGAGACCCTGCGCCACGGCTACGGAAACCACGTGCCTGGAGCCGGTGCTCTGCAAGTCCAGGCAGCGCAACTCGAGACAGCGCCCGCGGCAAGGAAGACCCAGCACAGCCAAAAAGAACCAAACAAACAATGAAAAAAACAAACAAAAAACTTAAGCCTCCAGGCCCCTCCTTGGCCCGGGCCCCTTCTAAGATTCAGGAAAGGCCGGGGAAGTGAGTTTGCTTACTCATACCTTTCTGTTAAATTTAACAAAGCCGCTTCACACTCTTTTTCTTAGAGAGCATACCCAAATTGTGGGAGGCTTAGACTCCACAGACATCTGATCTCTTTCTCCTAGAATATATCGCTGTGTGATCTGACATTGCCTAGAGGTAAACTTCTGGTGAACCTCAGGTGAATTTACGGGCTGATTTATGTAGCATTAAAACCTCAGCATATTGGATTAAACTATTTTATTTCCTGTTCTCCCCTAGACTTCAAGGTTTTAAGGGTCAGAGATCATAGCTTGTCCCCAGTGACAGCATAATACCTGGAGAAGAGTAAACAGTAAATACATTTATTGCAAAACTGAGCATTTTGTTGACTTCTCTTCCATGGATTTCATTTTCCTAAATCCCAAATCTCTGCTTAAAACAAAATATACAATATTTATAATATGTATGTTTAATCCTTTTTACCAAGGTAATTTTTATCTCAAGTCTAAGTGATTCAGAAGAAGATGAATGCATTCATCTGAAGTGAGAATGCAGAAACCAGACTGCCTCCTGAATTAGCTACTGCATATTTATATCCTAATTATAATTATCAAAACATTCCTCTAGGCCAATTCTGAGATATAAGTTATTTTCTTAATCATAAATTAGCCAGTATAAAATTACAAAAATTTCAGCTGCTAGCTCTTGATGAGATTATTAGAGAAAGAAAATATGTGAAAACTTTAACGGTTACAAGTTGACATTTATTTGATGAAAGATTTATATTTCGCTAAACCTCACCCAAGTTATTATATTCTGAACAAATGGGAAATAACTATTGTGATAATGTTCAAGAGATGTCTCTCTGTTTATGCTTTTAAAATGCCATTGAACTTGAAGTCCTTAATAGTAACTTGCATAAAACATTACATTTCAATTAGCTGATTTAAAAATCATAGAGAGCTGGTTTTATGGAACAGGGTGAACACCATAGGGTACGAACAGAAATGGCTTACTCTCCTCCTAACACTACCTTCCAGTGTATTCTATTCCCTTCCTGACATCTTACGTGCATGCTTGTTAAGTCACTTCAGTCATGTCTGACTCTGCGACCCCATGGACTGTAGCCCACCAGGCTCCTCTGTCCATGGGACTTTCCAGGGAAGAATACTGGAGTGGGTTGCCATTTCCTACTCCAGGAGGTGTTCCTGACCCAGGGATCGAATCCTCGACTCCTGCATTGGCAGGCAGGTTCTTTACCACTTGGGGAGATTCTAAAGATTTTTGGCCACTTTTCATTATATGATGAGCCTCAGTCTAAAATTCCTACTCCATTCAAACCTGGACCAGGATCCTACTCTCAGCAGCTCAAGCCTGACACGTAGTCTGAGGAAAGAAAAAGAAGGTCGGCCACTCTGGTCCACTCCTCCCATATGGTGACCACCTGGTTCTTACAAGACGGGTGGGATTAGCTGGACTTGGAGACATGCGGTCCCGTCTTGTGTATCTGACTCTGCTGGCCTCTGTCCCTGGGCCCTTTCTTCTCAGCAGTCACTGTTCTTTCATGGAGCTCATTTTTGTGTTCCCAAGAAATATTCCACGTTTTAATCGTAAACCTGGTCCTTTAACACCTGTCCTACGTACAGATGCTGGACGCATTTTGCTCTGGATGACCGGATAAAACGTCTGAGTCACCCCTCCTGGCCTCCTGTCTCCCTCATCACCATCCCCAAACTCAGGAAGATTCCTTCTCAAGGCTTTTTTTTCCCCCAAATACAAACCAACCACCCCAGAGTCCACACCCCAACCATCTCCTGTATCCAGCTTTTGTACTCGGGCCATCTGCCTGCCCTCATCACCCCACTGCCAGGGACCAGACCACTCTGGACGCATCTATGCCCCAGGCCCAGGTGGTACTAGTGGTAAAGAACCCACCTGCCAATGCAGGAGACTCAGGAGACAGGGGTTCGACCTCTGGGTTGGGAGGAGGAAATGGCAACCTGCTCCAGTATTCTTGTCTGGAGAATCTCAGGGACAGAGAAACCTACACTCCATGGAGTGGCAAAGAGTCAGAGACACCTGAAGCAACTTAGCGTGCATATATGCATGTCCCAGAGCCCCTGAGACTATTCAAACCAGCCATCCCTCAGCCTGCTCGCCCTGCCTCACATGTCCCTTCCCAGGGAAGCCACAATAAAGGCTCCCGGCCCCAGCTCTCCCCATCTCTCTGCCTGCTGATTCACCTGGTGCTTCCCCACGTGGTCCCCTGTGATGTCGTATGCAACCCCCCACCCAGGTACTATGAGTAGCAAACTATCTTTTCTTTTTCTTTTTGATGTGCATCATTTTCAAAGTCGTTACTGAATTTGTTAGCCTATTGTTTCTGCTTTAAGTTTTGGTTTTTTTTGGCCCCGAGGCAGGTGGGATTTTAGCTCCCCAATTAGGGATCGAGTCTGCACCTCCTGGACTGGCAAGCGGAGAGCCAGCCCTTTGACCACCAGGGAAGTCCCCAAACTATCTTTTCAGGGGTAATTCTCTCTTGATCTGTTGACTTTACTAATATCTCATATATTCTTTTTTTAAAAAAATGTAATGAATTTGTGATGATGATGATTTTATTTGGGCTGGGCTAGGTCTTCCGTGCTGCGCAGGCTCTTCGCCAGTTGTGGCAAGCAGGGTTACTCTCCAGTTGCGGTGCACGGGCTCCTCCCTGCAGCGGCTGCCCTTGCAGTGGAGCAGGGGCCCCAGGGCACGCGGGCTTCCCTGCTTGCAGCGTGTGGCCTCAGCAGTTGTGACCAAGAAGGCTCAGGCCAGGTGGCCCTCGGCAGGGATGACATGGCCCTCCAGCAATACCAGACTACCCTGTCCTGCCAGCTGGCGAGAAGCAGCTTGCCCACAAGAGCCTCTCTTCTTGCCGTGCCAATCTCTGATAGCAGCTGGTCCTCCCGGGGGTGCTCACTTGACCTGGGCGGGGAGCCCCCTCCAGCTTTCCCCAGGGTGATGGGAGTGGAGCCACGGAACTCTCTGCTGTTGACTTCATTCACTACCATGACATCATCTTTGTGTGCAGGGTTTCTGGGTGATGGAGGTGGATAATGTTTTAGTAAGTTCTCCTGGGATTGAGCTAGTTGGTTTTTTAAAAAATGTTAGAATACTTTATCTTCTAGTGACCTCAGCCTTGAGACTTTAGCCAAAATTCCAAAGCAGCAGGAAAAAAAAAAACAAAACTGATGTCCTGATATAAATAAATTATTTAAGGTATAATAATGAGTTTTAATCTCACAACAAAATAAACGTTTTGTGCTTCTTTAATTTTTTATGGTAATGTAAATTAGACGGCTTTTCTAGTTAACACTAGGATAAAGATATTCCCATGTGCTATATACTTCTCTACCCAAGCTCAAGCCTTATATCTAAAATTAATCTCTTTTACCATAGTTCTTTGGTATTAGAAAAACCCAATATAAAGTGTATTGAATTGTTTATGAAAGTGAATTTCATGTTACAGGAATGCCAAAGCATGTAATGATGAGTCCAAAGGGTACAACTGTGTGAAACGCTATTCCTTTTAAAGAGTTTTGACATTTAGTAGAGAACATCAATTGGACAAAAGCAGAGCAGTTGCTGTGGTTCACTCATTATTTTAAGAGGTAAAAACGAAATAAAGAGAAAACAGATAAGGATTTAAAAGGACACACGAAGCTGACAGAGCCCTCAGTGCATCAGTGAAGCAGATTGAGAGATTCCATTCACAGTCGTTAGGAAAATGGATGAGAACGAAGGGTCCCTCCAGCTTTGATGCAGATGCTCTGAAAACTTATTTAAAAAAAAAAATTTTTTTTTTTTTAGAGGGATACAATCGTGTTACTGATTATTCCCTTTCAGGGTTTCAGTAACAAAATCCTTCAAAGTAAATGGGTTTTAAAATTGAACTAGCTTTATGATTCAGGCTTCTCTACAACTGTTATGAGAACATCACAACTTCCTTAAAGACATGAAATCAGGATGAGCTTAGTTTTGATTTGATTAAAATTATTAAACATTTAAAAATTGGTTTAATTAAAAATTAATATCTGAACAAGTTTGATAGAAAATCCTTATTCTTTGAAGCCTCACTAATTTTTAAAATTTCAATTTATTTATTTTTATTGAAGTAAAGTTGATTTACAACATTGTGTGAATTTCAGGTATACAGCAAAGTGATTCAGATATATATATATACTCTATATTTTACATATAATTTTATATATAACATTTCATATATATTCTTTATATAATTCTATCTGTAATATATTCTATATATTCTCTATGTAATTTGCTCTATAATATATTCTATATATAACTCACTCTATAATATATGCTATATGTAAATCTCTCTATATAGAACATATATATTCTTTTTCAGATTTTTTCTATTATAGCTATTATAAGATATTGAATATAGTTCCCAGTGCTCTATAGCAGGTCCTTGCTATTTATCTATTTTATAGATAGTAGTGTGTATCTGTTAATTCCAAACTTCTAATTTATCCCTTCCTCCCTTTTCCCCTTTGGTAACCATAAGCTGGTTTTCTATGCCTGTGAGCTTATTCCTAGTTTGTAAATAAGTTCATTTGTATTATTCGTTTAGATTCTACAGTTAAGTGATATCACATGTTATTTGTCTTTCTCTGTCTGACTTATTTTGCTTAGTATGATAACCTCTAGGTTCATTCACGTTGCTGCCAATGGCATTATTTCCTTCTTTTTTATACGCCTCACTAATTTTTAAAGCCAAGTGAATTCAGATACATACTATAAGGTATTAGATACTGCAGTGATATTTCATTAGTTTCATGAAGTAACCTGGGATTAGTATATTACTCATTCTCTTATTTGTTTTATTTTAGTTTTGCATCCTACTGTAATCCAGGGCTTTGCCTTGCATTACTTTTAAGTAACTCTAGCAGATAGTTTCATGTCATATTATGCTGCTTTAAAACCTTATACTATCAGTTCAGTTCAGTTCAGTCACTCAGTCATGTCTGACTCTTCGCGACCCCATGAATCGCAGCACGCCAGGCCTCCCTGTCCATCACCAACTCCCAGAGTTTACTCACACTCATGCCTATCGAGTCGGTGATGCCATCCAGCCATCTCATCCTCTGTTGTCCCCTTCTCCTCCTGCCCCCAATCCCTCCCAGCATCAGGGTCTTTTCCAATGAGCCAACTCTTTGCATGAGGTGGCCAAAGTACTGGAGTTTCAGCTTTAGCATCAGTCCTTCCAATGAACACCCAGGACTGATCTCTAAAGGAGATGGACTGGGTGGATCTCCTTGCAGTCCAAGGGACTCTCAAGAGTCTTCTCCATAGATACCTTTACATAACATGGATGGACCAACAAGGCATTATGCTAAGTGAATGTATCAGACAGAGAAATACAAATACTGCATACTATTACTTATATATGGACTCCAAAAAAGCAAAGCAAAATAAAACCACTGACCCCCGACAAAAGTCATAGAAAAAAGAGATCAGACTCATGACTACCAGAGGCAGGGATGGCTGGGCGGGGCAGGGAGTGGAGGAAGGTGGGCAGAGGTACAAACTTCCAGTTTTAAGGTAAATAAATACTAGGGATGTAATGTACAACATTAGGACTATAGTTAACACTGCTGTATGATACACAGAGAAGCTGTTAAGAGACTAGATCCTGAGTTCTCATCACAAAGAGAATTTGTTTTTTCTTTCTACTGGGTCTATATGAGATGAAAAGTAAAGTGAAAGTGAAAGTGAAAGCTGCTCAGTCGTGTCTGGCTCTTTGTGACCCCATAGACTATACAGTCCATGGAATTCTCCAGGCCAGAATACTGGAGTGAGTAGCCTTTCCCTTCTCCAGGGGGTCTTCCCAACCCAGGCATCAAACCAGGTCTCCCTCATTGCAGGTGGATTCTTTACCAGCTGAGCCACAAGGGAAGCCCATATGAGATGATTGATGTTAATTAAACCTATTGTGGTAATCATTTTACAATATCTGTAAATCAAACCATCATACTGTATGCCTTAAGCTTATATAGTGACATATGGCAATTATTTCTCAGTAAAACTGGGGGGGCGGGCTGGAAATCCAGATGCTAACAAATATAGCATTTTTCAGGATATTTTTCTGATATGCTTACCAAACACGGGGCACCCAAAATCCAGGTTTTTTCTCTCCAGGTCTTAATTTTAAATTTAAGTTCTTGGACACACTCACATTAATTCTGAATATTCCATTACAATCTTCCTAAAACAGGGGGAAAAAAAAATAAAAGGACAAAGAGAGGAATCTGGTCAGAAAACGAATTCAGAAAAGATAAAAGATCAGCAACACTTTTTATGCAGAACAACAGAGGTCTTTTATCTAACGACACAGATATGCACAGCGACTCAGCTAGTAGCGATAAAGACTTCAGAGATAAGCAGGTGAAAGTCGATGCTGAGACTGTTTAGAAAGTGGCCAGTATTCATATGTGAACTGACATTCTTCCAAGGAGAGATACAAATAGCCAATGAGCACATGAAAAGATGCTCCACAGCATTAGTCATGAAAGTGGAAGTCGCTCAGTCGTGTCTCACTCTCTGCGACCCCATGAACTTTACAGTCCATGGAATTCTCCAGGCCAGGATACTGGAGTGGGTAGCCTTTCCCTTCTCCAGGGGATCTTCCCAACCCAGGGATTGAACCAGGGTCTCCTGCATTGTAGGTGGATTCTTTACCATCTGAGCTATGAGGGAAGCCCCCATTAGTTATGAGGGAAATTCAAATCAAAACCACATGGAAAACCATTTCCCATTCACAAAGAAGGCTGTAATCAGGAAGTCAAACATCGACAAGCTTTGGTGAGGATGTGCAGAAATCCTAATCCTCATACTAGAATTCTCAAACACTGCTGGTGGGGATGAGAACTGGTGCAGCCACTTTGGAAAACAGCGTGGCAAGTCCTTAAATGATTAAACCAGGAGCTGTGGTAAGAACCAGAAATTCTTCTCCTAGATATCTTGCCCAAGAGAAATGAAACATACATCCACATGCAAATTTGTACATGAATGTTTATATCATTATCATCATAAATAGCATTATTTATAGCTGCCCAATGGTGGAAGCAATTCACATGTCCATCACTGAACAAATACATAAACAAATGTGGTATATCCACAAAATGGTATATAACTCAGCCATAAAAATGATGCAGGACTGAGAGATGCTACACTATGGGTGAACCCTGAAGATATGATGGTCAGTGAAAGAAGCCAGCCATCAAACAGCACATGTTATATGATTCCAAGTGGAAACATGACATGAGCAACACAAGCTTCATGACCTTTACATGTGAGTTGTATGATCCCAATGTTGGGGGTATGTAGCTTCCTCTTTTCCTTGAGTTCGTCTCTTCTTTCATAAAAATGAATGGAAGATCCAAGGCAGAACTTGGATATTGCCTTCAACCACATGGCTCACTTGACCCTGGCATCTTATGTGAGGACTAGGAAAGAACTCGTTCTGTTATAAAGACCTGGGCCGTGTCTCACTACGCCAATTTCTTTTCAATTGTTCTGCTTGCTCTCCAAGGCCTTTGTAAAGGCTACATTTTCTTAGACTTTCTTTCTGAGCTTTCCACAGAGGCCTCCTTGTTCTGGGGAGAAGGATACATGCCTTGTGGTATCTGTGTGTCTGTTCGTCCGCCGTGTGTCCTTGACCCCATACAAGTCACCACCCTTTGGGCTGGTGATAAGCAGATAGTGTAAAATCACAAGGCTCTTAGGCCATTATTACTCTACTGAGTCATCCAAGATTTCTACAGGCTTCATCTTGAAATGTAGCTATTATCTTTCTGGCCTCTATTCATGGTGGACCTAAAATAACACTGTTTTCCTTACATGAGCTCATGGACTAACCCATCAGCTCATTATTACTGCCTTAGTTTAGCTTGTCGGGTACACCATGACCTTTATACCATATTTGTTGCATGTCTTCTCATGTTTATCAAAGTTCCCAGAACCTCCAGGGAGCGGATTTAAAGGAAGCAGCAACTTTGTGAAACAACAGAAGCTCTGCCTGACCTAAGCCTGTCTCTTCTGCTACACCTCTTACTGAAAATCTCATTGTTAACATGACTGGTAACATATCTGGACAAAGGTGTTACCTGTATCTTACAATGATTTGAGAGATATTAAGCTTTATGATTGTTGTTTAGTTGCTGAGTTGTGTCTGACTCTTTACAACCCCATGGACTGCATCAAGCCAGGCTTCCCTGTCCTACACCATCTCCCAGAGCTTGCTCAAACTCATGTCCATTGAGTCGGTGATGCCATCCAACCATCTCATCCTCTGTTGCCCCCTTCTCCTCCTGCCCTCAATCCTTCCGAGCATCAGGGTCTTTTTCAATAAGTCATCTCTTCGAATCAGGTGGCCAATGTATTGTAGCTTTGGCTTCAGCATCAGTCCTTCCAATGAATATTGAGGACTGATTTCCTTTAGGATGGACTGACTTGATCTCCTTGCAGTCCAAGGGACTCTCAAGAGTCTTCTTCAACACCACAGTTCGAAGGCATCAATTCTTCGGTGCTCAGCCTTCTTTATTGTCCAGCTCTCACATGTGTACATGACTACTGGAAAAACCATAGCTTTGACCATATGGACCTTTGTCGGAAAGTGATGTCTCTGCTTTTTAAGATGCTGTTTGGGTTTTTTGTAGCTTTTCTTCCAAGGAGCAAGCGTCTTTTAATTTCATGGCTAAAAGCTAGTAAGTTTTACAGTCAGAAGGCTCAAAATGTAACAATGGTCACAATAATATAAAATCTATATTACATAGCCATACTTGCTGGAAATATGGAAGTAAGTAGTACAGTCAGCTCTGATAGCACTTTAGCGAACATTCATTTTAATGGACTTTAGGTGTTGTTTTACCTGGATGGAAGAGGAAATACTCTTGCTAGTTTATACATCAGCAGAAGTGGGTTCACTCCATTAACCTACTTGTAATAGCTGGCAGGATTCTAAGAGAATGGGACAGAGGGTCGTGCAGCAGAGATTGGCTAATTATTAACCAAACTCTACCCCCTTGTCTACAGAATACACCATTCAACTACACACCATAGGTTTCCTTCAGCCCAGGGAGGCTGCACCTTTTCCAGGGGGACATGAGGAGCAGGGAAGTCAGAGGTGCTACTCCCAGGCTCAGCCCACTGTCCTCCGAGAGATGGTTTTCTGTTCCTAACTGCCAGCTACACAGAGAAGTCTTTGAAGGTGGCAAAGGGTGCGGACACAGGACAGAAGAAATGTGAGACCTCGCATCGTTATCTGGAGGGCAGCTGTCTGAATTATTCAACATGCAACACATTCATTTCATTATGTTCAGCTACTGACATATGGGGGCTGTTCCAGCTTCCTCTCAGAACATCGGCCAAGGAAAGAGAAAGAAAAGAGTAGACGGAATTCCCTGGCAGTCCAGCGGTTAAGACTCAGTGCTTCCACTGCTGGGGGCCCGGGTTCAATCCCTGGTGGGTGAACTAAGACTCCACAAGCCTTGTGGCATGGCCAAAAAAGAAAAGAGTAGAATCAAGAGCATTCAAGCTTGGGTATTAGTTGTCTTCATGGGGGAGACTGTGGGAAGCAAAGAGATAATGCGGGGTCCTGAATTCCTAGTGGAGGAATGTGGAATGGATAAGTCATAAGAGGGGGCCTGGAAGTCAAACTTTGCCTTTTATATTGGCGGGGGGTGCTGTTTGCTAATACGAGTGTCAGGTCCCTGCAGAGGCAGGATTAAGTTAGGGAAGAACTAAAGGGAAACTTTTCACATGGGATCTGGGGTGACTACACCAAAGATGTCAGCAGTGGCTGGACTCTGGAATAGGTGGGGAGAGTAGGATTGGGAGTTGGATTGAGCAGGACGCATCTGAGATGCGTTTTCTTCTTATAAACCTTCACCCGCCGGAAGAGACACTGCTGCAAAGGCAGTCCACGGGAAGAGTATCCTTAGGGTTCTGTTCTCACGGCAGCCTCTGCACATGGTTACCCGGGGATGGTCAACGTCCTGGATTTTCATCCCCAAAGACAGTAAGGACATCTTACCCTTCTAATAATGTTGGGATCATTGCATTTGGCCAGTTTACCAGCAAAAAGCTGAACTCCAAAACTTGCAAAAACGAGCATTAAGGTCAGCAAGAGAATGGAGACCTGGAAGAAATGGGTGAGATAGCAAATCTCTTCGTAAAATGTTTATAAAACAGTAGGTTTGGTTCGAGCAGTGATACAAACAGGACTTTTCAGAAAACATGGGACAATATTCAGTCTTTGGATGTTACCTTTTAATGTCTCCCCTACAGGTCATTCAATTAACCTGACTGTAACGTTAAAAGGAGGAAATTAACAACAGGTTTGGCATTTTTAGGATAAAAACACATGACTTTCACATAAGAACACAGGCTAAGGTATTTTTGATATGAGTTGGACCTTTCTGATTTTAAAATCAACACGTTGCTTTATTTTATTGAATGGAACAAAGGAAAAACGGTGAAATAATTCTGTTTCCCCCATTTCCTCAAAATGGATTCATATGAGGGACCGTGGCTTTGCTTTCTTGGGGGCTTCAGAGCTGAGGGCGTGTGAAGGTCCCACATACAGAGGCTGTGAGATCACGCAGTCTTGAACAGCAAATCTGGTGGTTGGCTGCCGCGCCCTCTGCTGGATGACTGTTTTGGTCTCAGCAGAGAGAAGAGGCAAACATACTGAATTACACCACTCATCTGTGCTGGCTGAATCATCTAAACATATCTCTTAAATGTACTGAAATTACACAGAGCCATTCTCTGGATCAAGACTCGGACCATTTTCTAAATTCTATCAGGGTTGAAAGATGCATGCACATTTGGTGTCAGGAAAATTCACTGTGCTATTCAGTTCCAGGTGTGGGAAAAGCCACTGTGCTATGGTTGTAGCGCAAAAAACAAAACAAAATTGAATTTTAAACACAGCTTTTGAAAAAATATTAGCATCTATTAATATGTGCCTGTAGCAACATAATAGCCTGTCTTTAAAATACCTTAGAATCAACCCCAACTACAGCTGTTCTCTCACTATAGGTGTGCTTCTAGCAAGCAAGATACCAAACAAGCTTACGTAAATCAATTCATGTTTTCCATGCACATGCAGAACTCAACATTAATGAAAAGAATCCTGTGTCTCTCACCTGTGAGGCAAAGATTCTTCTTTAGCAGACTGTGAGCAAAGAGTCTCTTCCTCATTGTTTTATTTGCGGTTCTACTCTTAAAAGATCCTAAATCAATTATTTGCTCAATTAAGAATTATATTTTCTCCTCAATAATATTTCTAAGTATTCATTACTGTATATTGAGGTTACTTAAAGTAAGGCTCACTTGCATGTTACAGTTTTGAAGAGTTGTTTTATGTTAACACTCCAAAGATCAAGGTGAAATTTTGAGCTATATGAGTTTGGGGACACAGAAAATGAGATTATGAGCTCAGACCTATGAACTCCTATTATCATTCATGATGTTGATGGTGTTGAATTTTCTTCTTCATTTCCACATTTAGCAACTAAAACTCAGAGTAGAATTTAGGGTCAAGAGTTAGGAATGGAAATGTCAACAGTACTAGCTCTTTGGATTCTCCTTCCATTGTACTTTCCAGAGGGCTTCCCTTTAACTTACTATAAATGTTCGCTGAATTAAATACACTAATAAGCCAGAAGCATCCAGATGTAAAGTCTTTGAATATGTGTTGTGTTTTTCTAGTACCTTTATAATCTTCTGGCGGTAAACAAAATGGTAGACTTGATGAGCAAGACTCACTTTATCACTTCATTTGCTATAGTAAGAGCTAGACTATGTGGCCAGAAGCAAAGGGTGATTGCAACATACCAGAAAAATTTCCTTAAAGCCGCTGAAAAGTTCTCGAACAACCTTCCTCATCTGAGGCACCAGCTTGAATATGCGCAGTGGTCGCAGGCAGCGGAGAACCAGTAAGAGCTGAGCTCCAGACTCTGCAGGCACGTTTTGGGGCATCCAACAAAGAAATATCAAGCTCACCTGGAGGGAAAAAAATAACCTCCAGAATTTATGCAATTTATCCTCTACTATCTGCATTTACTGTGAGCTACCTGGGCACAAGTCTCCTTTAGCAGAGATTTCATGTGTCATGTAGGACAAGCGTTCACTGAATGTATTAAGACATGTAACTCAGCTGTATGGACTCGACCCAGACCTGTGAGCCCCCAAAGAAATCATCAGGTGTTTGCAGGAATGAAATAGGGGTGCCCACACCATGGGTGTGGGGACACAGGTACATCCTGCCCCTTCTTTTAACATACACACTGGAGGCTCTATAGATGTTAGCAGGGTAGAAATTCCTTTGGTCAAGGATACTAAACCTCACACTTGACTGAATACTTACTATTTTGTTAATGATCTAAACATGCTACATGCTAACAGTCATCATTTTGTTTGCTGTGTTGGAAAAGACATTGACTTTAGGCCTTCTCAGACAAAGAGAAAGATAGAAATTTCTTTGAGTCCTCTACTATGGCTTTCCCATTTAGTTTTTTGGGGAGGTGGCTCCACTGCATGGCAGTGTGGGATTTTAGTTTCCTGACCAGGGTTCAAACCCATGCCCCCTGCAGTGGAAGTGCTGAGTCTTAGGCAACTGGACTGCCAGGGAATTTCCCACCACTGCCCCACCGCGCCCCCCCATTTAGTTTAAACAGACAGTTGAAAGGTTACCTTCTCTGGCCTGGTATTTTATTTTATTCCTGGTATTGGAAGAGTTGTCCAACCATACTCTATTTGTTTTCAGTGATAAGCAACTCATATGATGCAGTTTTTTTTTTTATTCATAGGTGCCATAAGAATTGTGGCATGCAAACTAGATTTGATATCTTAGACGTCATTAATGTATGTCTTATGCATACATGAATGTAGTTGATGTATCTGAACCATATCCATGAATATTTTTTAATGCTTTTTATTTAGATTTTACATGCATGCCTGTAATAGACTATGACTCTACTTAAGAAATCAGTTACAGCAGCTGAACCTCTGACTCATGTATCTCACTCTTGTACCAAGAAATGCAGGTGATTTGACAAAATCATTCCATTTTGTATTTAGGAACTAACCGAAGACTTACAAGATATATAAATATGTCCATTACTCCACCAAAGTCCCTGATGACAGCGGTCGGAGTGAAAAATAGGCCATCTGCCATAATCTTCAGATTAAGCTCAATGCTCATGAATATCACAAACACATACTCGGCAATCTGAAATGGGCAGAAGGCAGTCTGGTCACCATGAATGCAAAAATTGCAGGTCAGCATTTCTCCGCTGAGCCCAGAGGTGAGATACCTGCAAAGTAGGTGTGTGCATCACTCTTCGAAAGGGGGATTCGAACATCATGGAGATGCAGGAGCAGATGGTTACGATGATCATGACCCAGTCCAGATAAGTCACCAAGCCCAGCAAGTCACTGCCGAAGACCAAACAAAAGTGAGAAACGCAAATCCTCTGGGAAAAGTTGCTAGAAGTCAGAGATGATGCTTTTGTGAGTCTACAGACGTTGACTGGCATTTTTAAAATGAATCCCCAATTGTCTATTTCATATCATGATACAGAAAGAAAATAAAATTTTAAACGTTTATGCAGTTTGTGGAACTTCAAAGGTGCATGGAAAACAGAGTTTGTAATGCTTACTAAAGTTGATGGTACTTCGTATTTTTCACAGCTCCTGTGACTGGATCTGTTTTAGATCTGTAAGAGAGAACACAGAAATTCTGCAAATAGCATGTGTGTTACAACTTGGCTCGTAGTATGCATAAACATCTCATCTACCTAAACTCTTTCAAATCCTCTAAAAAATGTCTCTTACATAGATGTTAACTGTATGTGACTTTGGAAGGCAGAGAACACTAGATGGAAGAAAAATCAGAAGAGTTTCAGAGGGTGGTTTGCTGTTGTCGCTAAGTTGTGTCCGACTCTTTGCTTGTCTTGCACTATCTCCTGGAGTTTGCTCAAACTCACGTCCATGGAGTTGGTGATGCCATCCAACCATCTCATCCTCTGTCGACACTTCTCTTGCCCTCAATCCTTCCCAGCACCAGGGTCTTTTCTAATGAGTCAGCTCTTCACATCAGGTGGCCAAAATATAGGAGCTTCAGCTTCAGCATCAGTCCTTCCAATGAATATTTATGATTGATTCCCTTTAGGATTGACTAGTTTTATCTCCTTGCTGTCCAAGGGACTCTCAAGAATTTTCTCTAGCACCACAGTTCGAAGGCATCAAATCTTTGGCGCTCAGCGTTGAAGATGATTTATGGTCAAATCTTCTCTATGGTCCAACTCAAGTTCACAGTTTTCAGTATGCTTGATTTTAGGACTCATGACTCCATTCAACAATTTCTGATGAGGATGCTAGAAAATTAAATTTTGACTTCCATTTAAAAGCATTCAAAGTCTTTGCCTTAGCAGTTCAAGGATGTTCCTCATAATTATTTAATTAACTATCCATGGATTAAGTAGAACTCTTCACTCTGTATCTCACTGTGATCTTGCTGAGTAATTTATATAGAATTTCTTGGGGGTGTGGATTTATAACTTTTACTTCCAGGAAGCCCATGAGCAGTCTTCAGTGAAATTCCTCACCCTCTTTGTGTGTGTGTTTCCAGTTACAGTAAAATCTTTCTGGGGCCACTAGAGGTAGGTTGCTGACATAAGAGAATTAGAGCACAGGGCATAAAGTGGAGAATTCCCAATTAGACAAAAACATGGAAGCAGCCAACGGGATAATTCCCAATGAAAAACCCACTTTAGGAACAGATCAAATCAACCCTACACTGTCAGTTTCTTTCTACTTAGTGAAAACTCAGAGTTTTCAATCATTACTACTAAGCTGCTTTTAACTGTGAAGGTCTTTCCAGAATAGCAGAACATGGACTGGCGGTCAGAGAGGGTCATGCCATAGCTGATGTTCCTGGGCAAAGCCCTCACCCCCAGCTACATGCCCGCCTCTGTTGGGAGCGGGCACAAATGAGCCCCAGTGGCTCCTGAGGTCTCCTCCGGCTCTGAGGAGTTTAGTTTCCTGTTGATGTTGTTCAGTCACTCAGTCATGTCCGACTCTTGCTCCTCCATGGACTGCAGCCTGCCGGGCTCCTCTGTCCATGGGACTCTTCAGGTTAGAATACTGGATTGGGTTGCCATGCCCTCCTCCAGGAGATCTTCCCGCCCCAGGGATCGAACCCTGGTCTCCTGCATTGCAGGTGATTCTTTACCACTGAACCACCAGGGAAGCCCTCCATTAGTTTCCTAGGGCCGCTGGGACAAAGCGCCACAGGCTGAGTGGCTTAGACAGCAGAAACTTCTCCAGTTCTGGAGGTGGACACCTGGGTTGAAGGTACTGGAGGGTCGGTTCCTTCGGAGGCTGTGAGGGAGGAACCTGCTCCAGCCTCTCTCCTTGACCTGAAGACAGCTGTCCCCTCCCTGTGTCTCCACGTTGTCCCCTCCTCTAGAGCAATCCGTGTCCCAATTTCCTCACCTTACAAGGATGTCAGTCTTATTGGATTAAGGCCACCTGAATGACCTCATTTTAATCTAATTACCTCTGTAAAGTCCTTCTCTCCAAGTAAGGTCACATTCAACATTTGAATTTCTTTGGGCTTCAACATTTGAATTTCTTTGGATGAGGGTGACACAATTCAGTCCAATATGCTACTAATAATGGCATCAGGGAAGGTCCAGCTACTGAATGGAAAGTTTTCACACTTTCTTGGACTTCCCTGGTGGTCCAGTGGTTAAGACTTTGCCTTCCAATGCAGGGGGTGCAGGTTCCATCCCTCATCGAGAAGTCAAGATCCCATGTGCCTCATGCTCAAAACACCGAAACATAAAACAGAAGTGATGTTGTCACAAGTTCAAGAAAGACTTTAAAAAGGTATGCATTAAAAAAATAAAAAAGAAATTTTTTTCATACTTTTTCCAGGATCCATAATGTCCTCTGGATGTTTACTTAAAGTTACGCATGAGAAGAATCTCACTTCCTCCATTGGCTGCTTGCTAAACTTGGCTTAGCTTGTCCCAAATGCACTGCCCTTGGGCTGACCACCCTGACAGCCTCTCACACGACTTCTTCCACAAAGGGAGGTTCGGGGACCCTGGCCAGTGGATTTTCTTCTTGTAACAGTCAGCGATGGAAGCCCTAGCCAGCTTAATCTCTATTTTGTCATGAATAGAATCTCTATTATTCTAGAATGAAGGTATTTTGACCACAAAGAAACGACAAATCTAAAAGAAGACACGGGTAGTGACCTTCGCTATGTCATTCCATCTCCCCTCGTTTGAGTGCTTCCAAAATAAAATATGGAGCTAACCACCCGGATACAAACATTTTGAGTGTCCCTGGAACAAGTAACAGTGGCTGTGAAGTGCTTCGTAACCGTGCGTTTTGTGTAAATGTTAACTCCGTGCTGCTGTTGTTTGTCTTCCACCCGGTCGGCCGCTCAGCCCAGAGGAGCGGCCTGATTAATTAGCCCATGCTTTGTTTGGTGACCCCATTAGGACGACACGATCCTTCTTCCTGAGATGACAACTCCCCCCACCCTTGCTGTTTGCCTGACTCGGGGCCAAACCCCTGGCTGCCATGGAGTCACTTACGCGTTGAAGCGAGCCCGGACCACCACGCGGCAGAAGTTTCTGAACCTGTGCTCTCGGCCCACGATGAACAGGGGCTTGTCAAAGTAGGGGTGGTTCTCTCTTAGCTCCTCTTCTTGCACCTTCCTGTCCAGGGAAATGCACCATTTGGGGTGGGGGAGGTCAGTTAGGCAAGGGCAGGTCTGCCCTCCCAGAACGGGAGCCACGAGACACCATCCCATCCCGCTGTACCTTTTCATTTCTGCTTGCTCCTTTTTCTCCTGGATCATCTTTATCTCACTGTCTTCTCTTTGTGCATTTCTGTATCTCACCGTGTTGGAGTGCTAGAAAGAAAATAAAACAGGGCACATCGACGTGGGACAGTTTTCTGAGGGTCCCTCCCAAAGATGACCATTTAAAAAAAAAATGGAAAGAATATCGCTCTGTTGATTTTAATGGGCTTCCCTGGTGGCTCAGATGGTACAGAACCTGCCTGCAATGCAAGAGACCTGGGGTCAATCCCTGGGTTGGGAAGATCCCCTGGAGAAGGGAATGGCTACCCACTTCATAGATTTTAATGGCCAGAGTCATCTTAGCAGGGGTATATATATATTTTTTCCACAAAAGGGTATATTTTTCTAATAAGAACATTTATTGAGAATCTTTTATTTGCCAGGCACTGCTGTAGTGCTGTAGATATGGCCAAAGTGGGGGTGGGGGGAAATGACACAATTCCTGTTCTTATGGGGTTACTGTTTTCGGGGGGGAACAGATTAATAATTAAATCAAAATAAGTAAGAGTATTAGAAAATGCTTAGTGCTAAAGAGAAAAACAAATATTGTATATTAACACATATATATTGGATCTAGAAAAATGGTACAGATGAACCCATTTCCAGGGCAGGAATACACAGGCAGACGTAGAGAAGGGATGGGTGGATGCTGGGGTGGGAGTGGGATGAACTGGGAGATTGGAACTGACATATATTCGCCACCATGTGTAAAACAGATAGTGGGAAGCTGCTATATAGCGCAGGGAGCTCGGCTCAGGGGTCTGTGGGGACCCAGGTGGGTAGGACGGGGGGCGAGAGGTGGGAAGGAGGTCGAGAGGGGGGATCTCTGTGTTTGTTTAGCTGATTCACTTTGTTGCACAGCAGAATCTAACACAACATTGAACAGTAACTCTACCCCAACTTAAAAAAATAAAATAAAAAACAAAAGAAACAGAGGAGGATTAAGGGCACGAGAAGGTCACAGCAGATCTTGGTAAGGAGCTGCTGTTCTCTGAGCAAAAACGAGGAGGAGGCAGGGCACTGGACACCTTCCGAGATCAGCACTTCTGGGGAGAGGCGGGTCTGTGTGTTCACACGTGGAACAGACAGGATGCAGTGTTGGTGGAGGAAGCAGATTAGGAAGAATTGAGGCCAGCAGGACAACAGAATCTGGGTCATTAGGATCCCAACTCTGGCTTTTACTCCGTAGAAGATGGAGAACCATTGTTCAACTAACTGGATTGATTGCATAGAAAAGCATTCCTTGGACTTAATTTCAGTATCCCTTATCATTCAGAATAAGTGACAGATAAAATTCTCTTGTTTTAAATGGCTTCTATTCTGGAGGAAAAGACACTGGGACAGATTTGTACAACCCAGTGACCTTTCACTATGAAGACGGGGCATGGATTTTTGTTATCTGTCTATGTAGAAAATAAAATAAAAAAATCTCTGAAGAGGAAATAAGCCTCTGGAATGGAGACTTCTCAAATAGGGACTTCTATTGTGTGTTTTTTTAAACATACCTCTTCAAAGGCATGTTCTAATTTGATGCTTAAGTAGACCACTGATTTCTATTGAGTCTCACTGAAGGAAAGTGCTTTGAATTAGTGTTGCCTCTCAACTCTCTCTGTGTAACATGTCTGACCTCCAAATTAAAAGGCCATGTGTTGGATCTTATCATAATTCAACATTGACAATATGGTGGATCACATCAGAGCTGGAGCTAAAAAATCATGGTGTCAACAGATGTTTGCACCAATTAGAACCATGCACATAGGCTACTGGCAACATCATGTGTTCTCACAATCAACTTCCTGCATCCTCAGTGTTGCCTGGAACACTTAAGGAGGAGAATGTACTCTCACTAAGACAGCAGATGGACTGCGCTGAAAGCTCTAGAAACTCTTCAGAAATAAGAGGTAAAGTGAAAAGAAAGTGAAAATTGCTCAGTTGTGTCAGATTCTTTGTGACCCCATGGACTATACAGTCCATGGAATTCTCCAGGCCAGAATACTGGAGTGGGTAGCCTTTCCCTTCTCCAGGGGATCTTCCCAATCCAAGGATCAAACCCAGGTCGCCCACATTGCAGGTGGATTCTTTACCAGCTGAGACACAAGGAAAGCCCAAGAATACTGGGGTGGGCAGCCTATCCCTTCTCCAGCGAATCTTCCCAACCAGGAATTGAACCAGGTCTCCTGCATTGCAGGCGGATTCTTTACCAACTGAGCTATCATGAAAGCAAGGCAAAAACAAAAATATCCAAAGCTTTGCTAAGTTTCTCTCCCTTTCTCATATGCTTGCCTTGCCTCTGAACATTCAAGACTTTGCCTCCTTAGCCAAGCTATCCCGACTCAACACCTATATCTTAATCAGGGTTTCACTAATGATCAGTATTTAATTAATCCTTTCCAGCTCTCTCATGGTAATATCAGCATCGTCCAGCTGCTGTTGACTCTAACCCATAGGTTAGACTTCTGCCTCCTCGGGTTCCCCTGGGCTGGCACATGGCTTGTTCCTTCACCTCATCTGGGTCCCTGGGCTAATACAGTGTCCCCCACCTCTCTAATGCTCCCTGTCCCCAAATCTCCACCTTTTATTTCTTTACACTATTTTACTCTTCTTTGTAGTACAGAGCAAATCTGTTACAGCAGTGATGATGGAAACTAGATAAAAATCATTCCCAGAAAGGATTATATATTTGTTTGCTCACTGATTGTCTCTTTTACTAGGATGTAAGCTTCTGCAGGGCAGGAATTCTTTTTTTAAAAAATTTGTTTAATTGGAGGATGATTGCTTTAGGGTGTGGCATCGCTCTTTCCTATATAACGATGTGAACTGGCTATAAGTATATGTACATCCCCTCCCTCTTGAAGCTCCATCTCACCCACCCCATCCTATCCCTGTAGGTCATCACAGAGCAGCGAGCTGACTCCCTGTGCTATAAAGCAACTTTCCACTAGTTGTCTCTTTCACACATGGTCCAAATAGTCAAAGCTATGGTTTTCCCAGCAGTCATGCATAGATGTGAGAGTCGGACCATAAAGAAGGCTGAGTGCCGAAGAACTGATGCTTTTGAATTTTGGTGCTGGAGAAGACTCTTGAGAGTCCCTTGGACTGCAAGGAGATCAAACCACTCAACCCTAAAGGAAATCAGTCCTGAATATTCATTGGAAGGACTGATGCTGAAACTCCAGTACTTTGGCTCTTCACCTGATGTGAAGAGCCGACTCACTGAAAAAGGCCTTGATGCTGGGAAAGACTGAAGGTGAAAGCTGAAGAGGGGAACAGAGGGTGAGATGGTTAGACAGCACCACTGACTCAATGGACACGAATTTGAGCAAACTTTGGGAGATAGTGAAGGACAGAAGAGCTTGGTGTGCTGCAGTCCATGGGGTCACAAGGAGCTGGAAACGACTTGGCGATTCATCAACAACAATAGGCGTATATATGTCAATGCACCTTTCTCAACTCGTCCCACCCTCTCTTTTCCCCTCTGTGTCCACAGGTCTGATCTCTATGTCTGCATCTCCATTCCTAGTGCAGAGATTCTGTCTTGTTTCCCTGCTACTTCTCCCTAGAGCAAGAACTGACACATCATAAATACTTGATAAATATTGATATTTATTGAGTCAGTTAATAAATAAATGAGTGACCTAGAAAAGCAAAGATATTCTTGGGAAAGTCTTATGAAGTCTTTGATAGAAAAATTCACCTAGAAAAAAAATTTTCTTTCCTAGTATGTTAACCCTGGAATGAAAGACACTGGGTCTAGATTTTAGGATATTTAGAAATTAGCAAAATATTTAAAGTTAATGATGTGACTCATTCCCATAAAATGCTTTAAATGTCTTTAATTTCAGTCAAATGCAAATGATATTTCACTTTTGCATTATACCATCTAAACAAAAGGACTTCTCTGGTGGCTCAGTGGCAGATAATTCACTTGTCAATTCAGGAGACACAGGTTTGGTTTCTGGGTCAGGAAGATCCCTTGGAGGAGGAAATGGCAACCCAATCCAGTCTTCTTGCTTGGGAAATCACATGGACAGAGGAGCCTGGTGGGCTACAGTCCATGGGGTCGCAAAGAGTCAGACACAACTCAGGGACTAGACAACAAAACAATCTAACAAAGATATATGTATTGTAGGATGTCTGGAATTTTCTACAGTTCAGTCAGTCAGTTCAGTCACTCAGTCATGTCCAACTCTTTGCGACCTCATGAACTGCAGCACTCCAGGCTTCCCCATCCATCACCAACCCCTGGAGTTGCTCAAACTCATGTCCAATGAGTTGATGATGCCATCCAATCATCTCATCCTCTGTTGTCCCCTTCTCCTTCTGCCTTCAATCTTTCCCAGCATCAGGGTCTTTTCAAATGAGTCAGTTCTTTTGCATCAGGTAGCCAAAATATTGTACAGTTAGTGATCACTTTTCTGTACCTGGCCATTTAATTTGCTTGCTGAGTTTCCTGATTCCTTCCAGGATGAAGTCTTAAGGAGATATGACAATGTGACAGAAGGAACCAAGGGCTGGAATTGTCTAAGCAATCATTAAAGATATTTTCACAATCAAGCTTTCCAAATCCAAAGTGTTGAGAACTTACATCTTGAGTCAGAGTTTCAAGAGATTTCCCCCTGCTGATCCTTTGGCTGTTTGATCCGTGTCTTAATGACCTAAAACAATCACAACCAACTGATCAATACATCTTGAGACCAAATGTGGACTTTTAAGCAATGAATATTATTTTAAAAAAAAAAGCCCCGATAGCATCACGCATGCATGTTTACTATTTCTTTGTAGAGCAAAAGCTTCAGGTCTAACCACCTGCCTTTGATCCCACTGAACAAAATTCAGAATTTTTCCTTCTGATCTTAAAAGTGAGAGTGTGGTCGTCATCAAGGAAGAGGTTTTTGAAATATTTTCTGAGCCTTTGAATCTGATTGTGAGTTTCATGGCTGTTGCTGTCAACAAACAGAACTCAGTTCTCCACCCCTGCCTGCCTTTTGACCAGTGCTGTGCACAGGAGATGCTTCCCACTGAACTCCGGTCCTTGGTTTGTCTGCAGCCTCATCTCTGTTATTTACCTGCGCTCTTGGCGGATGTGGTGTTGCACGCTAAGAATTGACCTTTCCTTTGCCGGCTGCCCCTCAAATGATCCACTCAGCATGCGCTGTCGAGTGCAAGCTCTAAAGAAAAAAAGAAGCCCCAGATAAACGCTGGATTCATACACTTGGGATGAATAATGCATAACTGCTCACTACCCTTCTTATTTTTAAGGAAACACCAATGATAAGACAAAACATGGCACACGACGCATAGTCAAAAAGGTAAATGAGCTTTAGGTTCTGCGTCAAGAGCCCTTTCAAAACAGAATGGTCATAACCATAAGAAAGTGCTGAAAAAGAAATAGACTCCTCGCTCCCCCAAATAGGAGAGCCTCTATTGAGATTCTGTAGGCAGTAGGGCCAGCCTACCCTTGGGTACCCTAGATGTTGGTTTTCAATTTAGACAGGGAGGTTTCTAATGAAAGCCCTTAGGGAAAGACTTGTCCAACCCAGGTTCCTGGGCTGATGGAATATATGTTTCGAGGAGATTTTGCAGAATGCTAGGAAAAGAAGAAAGTGAAAAGTTAGAGGCAAAAAAGTAATGGAAAGGACAAGTAATTAAAACTGGAATTAATACCTAGAGAAACGTTAGCTTAAAGCCTGTGGCTTACAGGTGACCACTTTCTCTGCAGTCATAAAACTCTGAAGGCTTTTAAAAACATGTTCTCTTTAAACTATAACCAGGCTTGTGTTAATTTCAGATTTGCTAATGAGTGAAGACAATTGGGGGTAACACCTGTGAGGTAATGATTCTGAGAGAAAACACTGCTTCTCCAGGAAGCTCTGTCCAACTGGAAAAGACAAGAAGTCCCTTGATACAGTAGTAGAGTGGAAAGAAAATAATTCCAGGGTTAAGAGACCTGTGTTCCAAAGTGACACTGTCACCAATGAGTTGGTGACCTTTGGGCTTAGTTTCATCACCCCAGAAGCAAGGAAAAGACCTTGATCTTGAAGAAAACTCATAGACTTAAAATGCAGCAATTTTGTAACAGGCAAATCTTATGATGCCACAGGGATTCAAATCAGAACCCATGGACTTCTGGCACTGCTTTCCAGAGCACAGTCCGATTTATGGTTCCTAAAGTGCATTTCCAGATATGCTTTGAATCATATCATTACCGTCTGTCCTAGAGTTAAGATCTTGGAGAAAAAGACCTATGTCTATTCAGCATACTTAAAACAGCATTTTTTTATGATACCATGTGTATTTTCAAGTACTTAAAAAACATTTTTGATGCCAGTGAAGATAATTGTGATGAATACCTATGAGAAGCAATACACATGCAATGAATGTAAATGCATTACAGGAAAAAAGGCCCCTGAATCACTCTTCTTAGCTTAACGAATTACATAGACCACTTTGAGATAGAATTTAAATTTTATTGAAGAGTAAAGATTTATGGCAGTGATATATAGAGACGATGCTTATTTCTGGGTTTCCCAGGTGGTACTGGTGGTAAAGAACCCATCTGCCAGTGCAGGAGACATAAGGGACCTGGGTTCGATCCCTGGGTCAGGAAGATCCCCTGGAGGAGGGCATGGCAACCCACTCCAGTATTCTTTTCCTGGAGAATTCCATGGACAGAGGAATCTGGCAGGCTACAGTCCAAAGGGTCGCAAAGAGTTGGACATGACTAAAGCAACTTAGCACACACATGTGGTTATTTCCAGGACTGGAATGAGGTCAAGAGGAAGATGTATTTGTAAGTTCAGTTGAGTTGACAAAGGTATAGGATGATCTCATATTATGTATATTAAGAATTATTTTTTTGGACAAAGGCCTGAAGATCATGACGGCATTCTGAAAAAAATCTACTTGGAGAACAGTGTTATTCTGGCATATACAGAATCCTGCCATTTGTGTAAACTGTCAAGACTTAACCTTCAACCACGTTCTAAGTTAACTTTTATTTTCATCCCAAGACTCTCCTCTAAAGCGGCTGAGACCTATAGGCCTTAAATACATAACACAACTTGATGATAAAATACTCTTCTGCGTTGGGTGTTCTTGATGTTTGAAATACGTAGAATGTAACTGACTTTAAGACGCCTGTGATTACAAAAAAGAAAACTGCTGGTACCTGCCCAGTAGCCCAGTCTGAAGATGCCTGGGCATCCTTGCTGGAGAGGAGTCAGGACCACAGCGGAGACCCCCTCCTCCGACTGAACAGGACAGGCAGGTCTCCATAGAGACAATCCCTCCCCTCAGGACATCTCCTTCTCCATCCCCTCCAACAGCATGGCTGAAGCGGTAGGGAGAAAGCAACTCCCCTTTTCCTCTCTGGCTGAGGACCAGCTCTCTCTTTCTTGCTGGATCTAGAGAATTCAGAAAATTATACTCAAAAGGCTGGCGTTTGAGTCGTGCATGTGACATGCAGCTTTGCAGTGCATATAGGAACCTTCCGTTTCTCTGTGATTCGCTCATCTGGGGTGGGGGGTCACAGGGCTGGTTTTCAGCTCTATCCTGCAATCAGAAAACCCGCGCTTAACCAGACTAAGACAGCCACTTAAATGTAACATATAAAACCATTTGCTTTAATGTCCTTTTCCTACACTCCTTCTATGTTATAAATAGTGTTAGCTGAAAGAATTTCAAACTAGATACTGATGGAAAGACAAAGAAGAGAACGCTCTATAACTCTGGATCAGTTAAAATGTGTAACAAGGGACTTCAGAGCATCAGCCTCTGTGGTTTCCGGTTGCTGGGTGAGAGGCCCCTGCCAGATACTGCCAGATGTTCCTCCTCCTTCCCTGGAGCTACAAGGTGCCCACAAGATCCAAGGAGAGTGAAATCAGGCAGATGGGGCCCTTGTGTCTTGGCGATAATGGTCCCCTTTGGCATTTCAGACCATCATCTGCCAACCTCACACCCCAGCATCCCCCTCCCACCTTTAGTACCAAAACGAAGGTCAATAGCCTCCACCTCCATCCAGCATTCAGTCCTCTTGTGGAGTCTTTTCTCAGACCAAATGTTCTGAAATCTCATTCTTTCTCTGGAGGAGGTCCAGCGTCTTTTGAACTAGGAAACTCTAGAGAGAAAGTCTAGGGTTTCTTTACTGAAAACTGAGGGCCACACTCATAGCAAATTCAGTTCAGTTCTGTTGCTCAGTCATGTCCGATTCTCTGCGACCCCATGGACTGCAGCATGCCAGGCTTCCCTGTCCATCACCAACTCCCGGAGCTTGCTCAAACTCATGTTCAATGAGTCAGTGATGCCATCCAACCATCTCGTCCTCTGTCGTCCCCTTCTCCTCCTGCCTTCATTCTTTCCCAGTATCAGGGTCTTTTCCAGTGAGTCAGTTCTTTGCATCAGGTGGTCAAAGTAAATTGGGTGAAGGCAAATTTTTTTGGACTTCCCAGGTGGTGCAGCGGTAAAGAATCTGCCTGACAATGCACAAGATGCAGGAGATGTGGGTTCGATCCCTGGATCAGGAAGATCCCCTGGAGAAGGAACTGGAAACCCAGTCCATTATTCTTGCCTGGAAAACCCCATGGACAGTCAAAGCATGCTTGTCTCAGCCCCAGTGGTCACTGTCTGCCTGTGGGGCCCGTGAGGGCAGTTACAGTCACAACTACTGAGCCTGCATTCTAGAGTCCGGGAGCTGCAGCTACTGAAGTCCGTGCCCTAGAGCCTGTGCTTCGAAACAAGAGGAGCCGCTCCAGCGAGAAGCCAGCGCACCGCAGCCAAGAGCAGCCCCGCTCGCTGCAACTAGAGAAAGCCCGGGCAGCAAGAAGACCCAGCACAGCCAAAAATAAATAAGTAAAAAGTATATAAAAAATTGAAAATGTATGGGAAAAATCTTATACTGAGTTGGCCAAAAACGTCATTCCAATTTTTCCACAAAACGGAAAGAACTTTTTGGCCAACCCAATACAAGGCCACTAGATGCTCAAACCGGGCCCCCTGTGCATGATGCAAGAAACTCAGATAGAAGGCTATGGATCTGGGGGACGTGGGGGGCTGCTGGGAGAAAGGGCATGGGGAAGGATGCCCTGAGGACACCTGCGCTTTGGAGCAGGTGGAGCAAAGATGCAGCATTAGGATGTTTCTGCATAAACACAACAACTTCACACATAAGCCAATGTCACCATCTTTGATACACGTAAAATATTTTGTTATTTAAGCTTGGTAGAAAAGTCACTGACATCTTGCACAATCTGGCTACTGAGAGGTTACAGAGCTTCTAATGCAACGGGCCAAGGCTCACCCAAAAGTATGGTAAAAGTTTGCTTTACTACCTTTAAAAAGAAATACAATTTTATTATGTGCAAGCGTGGACTGTCACCCAAACTATGAACTACCAAATTGAGTTTCGACATGAGTGCCATATAAATACAAACTTTGATATAAATGGGTTCTGATAAGTAACATCAAGTGAGAAATAAATATTTCACCGAGGTGAAAGTATGAAAGGATGATGTTTGATGTTCCATGTTTCTGTAGCCATGTTGTTAACCAAGCTTGTTTAATGCTTATGGCATTCGGTCACCATTAGTTACCTCCCTTACTAAACTGTGCATTTTTCACAGCCCATTTTCGCACTCAAACTCATATTCCTAGAAGCAAAGTTCCTGGCACATGAAGGGACTGATGGAAGACAGGGAGAGGTACGGGTGTACAGAGAGTAGAGGTGAGTATGTGTGTGTGTGTGTGCGCACGTGTGTGTAGCGGGGGAGGCAGGACCTAGAACTTGCTAGTCTTAGGTTCAGAGTAGCAAATCCACCCAGCAGTACAGAGGGGCTTCAAAGTTCTGCCTTTGCCTGGAGATTTAACGGAGAAGATGATTTGCAAAAACACACCGTTTAGAATCAAACACGTCTGACCTCAGCTTTTACAAGCTACGGGGCCTCAGGCAAGGGATGTGTCTTCTCTGAGCCTCGGTGCCATACGTGTAAAATGTGGGGACAAGAATACTGACTTCATAGGGAGCGGGAAGGACCGAGCAAGGTTATGAATGTTCAAGTGCTTTGGGAACACTGATGCTCGATTTAAATTTCAGTTTCCATTACCGACTCTTCTGTCTTGTCCTATGTCATGGGTGATGCTGAAACATTCGATAGAGGGTGGAGGCAAAGGACAG